CCACATATTTCAGTCAATTGTCGTGCGTGTTGATTGTCGGTTCCACATTCGCAGTTTAAACAAAATGAAATCTGTTTTGTTTCCATATGTGCTATACTTAAGCCTAATGCTCATCCTAGCTGAAACACAGGCTAATGAAAATGAGGTATTTTATTGAAGTTTACGTGAAGTGCGGTAAATAATCGTGTTTTTCTTAGTCTTGTAAGGCAACCAGAATAGCAGAGGAGCAGTGCGGAAAGTACATCTATAAGGCTGTGAGACCTTTGTTAAAGTATATTCATCAGATGAAGGAGGAAATTGAAAACAATAACAATAAAATTGAAGGCAAAGACAGGGAAATCAAGCAACTGCAGGAAAAACTTAGCCAACAAAATGAACTGGTCATCTTGGAACTGAGAGCTCAGAATGAATTCTACAAACAGAGTATCAAAGAGCTAACGAACAACGTTTTATCAATAAAAGAGCAAATGAGTAAACCCAATTCCAATGCCATAAAAATGCAGGACTATGAAGAGCAGCTGGAGAAAGAAAAGAAGTCAATTGATCAACAGGCCCAACAAATCCGAACTCAAAAACGAAATCAACATTTGTGCCAAGAAACTAAAAACCGACGAAGAGAAGCCCGTTTACGGCGAATGCACCGACTTTGCTGATGCTCCGGGTATTCATAAGATTAGCCCGGATCAAGAAGGTCCTTTCGATGTACTATGTGATAGTGCGATAGCAGGTCCTGGCTGGACGGTTATCCAGCAGCGAATCAACGGTAAGGAGGATTTCTACAGGAATTGGACCACATACCGTGAAGGTTTTGGTTTCTTTGATGGCGACTTCTTCCTCGGTCTCGAGAGGATTCATCGCTTGACACGCGCCCAGCCCCATGAGCTCTACATACATATGGAAGGATTTGATGGTGACATCGAATATAGAAGATACGAACAATTTGCCATTACTGGCGAGGAGGACCAATACACCTTGATCACCTTGGGCAAATCTGAGGGCAGTGCAAAATATGATATCTTGCAATACCTCAAAGATCAAAAATTCACCACATTCGATCGTGACAATGACAATTGGGATTCTGGCAACTGCGCAAGCCGAGACAATCGTGGTGGTGGTTGGTGGTACGGTGCTTGTGCAGACAGGTATTCATCGCCACAGCTTTGTCAAAATAATTAATATGCAATTCATTTTTATATTGTTTTTTTGCTTAGCAATTTAAATGGCAAATACTATGATCATAAGGTGAACAAATATGATGCCATATATTGGGAATGGTGCTCCTACTCCTTGAAGTCAGTTAAAATGCTTATACGCCCCAAAAGCAGTGGAAAATAAAATCAACAACAAATATGTATACCATTTATTGTAAAAAAGCTTAAATTGTCATAAAATGTATTTATAAATAAATGCAGATGCTGTAATCGCAACTAAAATCCACAACAGAAAGGAACACAAATATATTAAATTCGACGCATATCAAACAAATTCAAATGAAATATGTTAGATTTCGATATCATAACAAATTTCTTTTATTTATTTCTATGTTAAGTTATATGAGTTAGCTCTTGCCGAACTTGCGGACATTAGCATCACGCCATGCATTTATATTTCCAAATAAATCTCTTATTAGCTTGAACCAATTCAGAGCTAGCATTAGCAAAGTGGCGGGAAATTCAAACTAAATTTGATATAAAATATGTTAGCTGGATAAAGCCTGGCACGTCATCATCAATCAGTAGTTAATTAGAGGATACTTTGCAGGGTATATTTTGGTCGAGCATATACCGCAAAAATGCGGTCAGTGAACTGAGGAGTAAACAAGCGGCTAGTAAAATACCTTGCCATATGCGTTGCGATGCGAGTATTAATGAAATTACAAATTTAATTTCAATTTAATAAAAATTGATTGATTTAAGTATTTTTAATTCAGTTGATCCTGATTGGAAATGTAAAGCTGCTGGATTACTTATCAAGCATTGAACCATATTTCTTTAGAGCATTTCGTCCAGAAGTTACGAGCTTTATTTTATACTAGCGGGTATACCCCAGCATAAATCATCTGAAAGATGAAAATGAGTTTGAAACCGATCGGATGGTAAACAAAAAAGTGTCATACAAACATTTTTTGCGATTTTTCAAGACATGCGGTTGGAATTTCGCGAAATCCTGTCTTAACGTGCATCTTTACTGCATAAGGTAACTATAGTGAAAATTTCAGCTTACCAGCTTTAACGGTATGGGCTGTGCGTTGATCAACAATCAGTCAGTCAGTCAGTCAGTCAGTCAGTCAGTCATAATAATCATGCTTGCGACAGTGCATTTTTGTGCGTGTTGTGTCAGACAATCCCAGCAATGCCCATAAATGAACATATATGTTTACCTATCGAAGGACCAGCTTACTGCCCGGTGAGCTACAAATTTAAAATAAATGTATTTTTAATTAACGCCCTACTATGCGCTTCTCATGAATTTGAGTAACCCTTGCAATATTTCATTGCGATATAATAATAAGATTATAATAATAATAATCGTGCTTGCGTAAGTGAATTTTTGTGTAAATTAGGAACATTTTTATATACATATAAGACTGTGAGTTTTTTCAGACTGCGGCACATTCCCAGTAATGCCCATAAATGACGTGACATTAATTAACAACATCTAAAAGGCAGGTGAAGAAACTGAGTTAGCCGAAAGTAAAACTGAAATATAAGTGGGACATCTTGCTGCTGCTAATTAATATGAAAATACTTACGAGAAACCGGTCAGAATGTGCCTGGCTTACCAGCAAATCCTGTCAAAGCTGCTTTGTCACAGATCTGCGCTCAGACAATTTATGTATTCACTCGGCAGGCAAATATGCAAATAACAATAATTGTGAAAAGAAACTAGAAACCTGTTGAAATTGATAATCTAGATATTATCGCCGGGCGAATGCATTAAAGTGCCAAGCTAAGCCGACAGCCAAAGCCAATGCAGATCCTTAGGACCAGTCTTTATATAGCTAAAGGAATGCTCATTAAGTGCTCTACACGAACACGAACTCAAAAAACTGTCGACTCATGTTGGCGTGCATATTTCAAAACACGAGCCAGTCCACTCACGACTGGAACGGAGGCGGAGGCCGAGGAGTGTGAAGTGGGACAGCCACAACGCATGACTCGACGACTGTCAGGTGAAGCCGCTGGCAACGGGCACGGGCACAGGGCAGGGGCAGGGGCATGAGCAGGGGCAGGGGCAACCGGGCAGATGGATCACGATTGTTCCGCTTTCGGCACCGTGTTTATATCGCAGATCTATCAAGTTCCATCTGAACGCAGTCGGGACGGCACAAAAGCGACAATAATAAATGGATATTTACTGCTGGTAAACAGCTAACGAAAAATTGTTGTGATGCTTTAATTGTATTATAACTTAGCAAATGCTTCCGACATTCGCATTATGCTAAGGAATTGACTATATGTATATGAAAACCGAACAGCATGCGATTCTAATGCATAAACAAGCTCCGGTGACTGTTTCTATTAACAACAAAACGCTCCAAGGCATTGTTTTACGAATATCTTAATACCCTATTATTGCATAGATGTTGCCTTATCCACGACCAGATTAACTATATATATTCTTGATCAGTAAGACAAGCCAATGTCCATCTTTCTGTATCTCTCCTTGTATCTTTGCCTAGCCCCTTACTTTCTCTTGTTCTCTGTCGGGATCAGATTCCTATATTATATAGCTGCCCTAGCAATGTTATGTAAAAGTTATCTTGACCCGTTTTTCATATATAATTTATTTTTTATTATACCTCTCACATATCTATGACCTACGAATGGGTTTTATCACAATTTACATTTGCTGATTTTTTTTTTTTAAATAAAAGCAAACTTTGGAACATGTTGCGATCGCATCGGAAATGTCCAAACATTATTTTGAGCACCCTGTACATAAGCTGAAAACAAATGCAGAATACTTTGATATCATCGGTTCTGATTTGCGTCCATTTATTTGCTTGCTTAATGTATTTGGCGTCGTCTCCGGAACGTTAGCTTAATGCAAAGCGTCTGCGCTGCGGCCTGAAACTCGTTTTTGGACTCGCGCAAAAGGCCTTTTTTATTGGCCAATTCGTGGGTCATGAGCCCTTTTCAAATCTGCCAACTTGTGGCTGGACGATGGTGGAAAATACTTTCCACGCGAGAAAATGCGCGGTCCAATTAAAATCTATTCGATTGGAAAATTAGCATATTCGCATGCTATATATGCATGCAAATTGCCTATGTCTGATGTTCCCCGTTTCGTACATCTACACATATAATAACATTATCGTGCCGTTAGACAGGAGAGTGGTATGGCGCGCGGGGGGGAGAGGGGGGGCGGGGGTTAGGAACTTTTGACTCATGCTAAGTGTTATGTATTTAACTTTGTATTTATTCGTCATAAAGAACAGAGCGAAAATTGAATCGAAAAAAAAAAAATGCAAATTACGTGCGACTGGCGTTGGGAAAGTTCAGTATCAGATAAGATGTACTATAAAAACTGTCTCTCATTTGGGTTTTTTTTCTCTTTTCGTATATATATATATATTGAAATCAGTAGAAATGCAATTGCAGTTGGTCACGATTTCGAGCTGTCGGCGTTGCATTATTTAATTATTGCATCGGAATATTCATGTAGACACACGTAACTATTATATATTTATATATTTATTCTACGCGTTTTTTGTTGAAAAGCATAAATAAATAGCTATTAACTGCCAATAGCAAACTATATTAAAATGCACATAAATTAAATAAATGACTACAGAGGGGAGATTGCAGATGTGAAACTGAATAAGAAATTTCTCAGCTTAATTGGATTTTGATTGGGCAGAATAATATTTAACTACGAAATTTAGTGATAATTGATAAATATAGTAAAATAAATATAATAAATATAATAAATATAGTAAATATATATAAATAAAACGAAAATTGTATTGTCTATTCGTTAAAGAGTCAGCCGAAACATTGCACTCATCATTTTGCATTAGAAAAATGTATTGCAACATGCCCGATTGACTTTTAATGACCTGATGAACAATGAATTCTCCATTATTGTGCTAATCACGTTTCGATCTGCCAGCTTACAGTCAGCTCTATAAGTAAATGCCCTGCTAGCACAGCCGTGAATTTGAGTATTCGACAACAACAGAAATCAGACAATGAGCGGAACTATGGATCAGCTGGTTGATTAAATTTACCCACACAAATTTCTTTATTCTCCACGATTTGGCCGAGTCCGGAATCGAAGGTTAAAATATCACAGTGTCGATGATAAATCAAAGTTGTGTGGATAATTGATTGCTAAACAGTATAATTTTGCGGTTTTTATTTCGTTTCTTTGAATAGAACCTCTTAGGTAACGTATTTATCATAATTATCGAGTGAAATATGTAAATAGCAATTTTGTTTTTTAACAAGCAATTGGTGAAATATTATATATTTCAGCCATGCGAACTGTTATATTTTTAACTGCTTTACACTGACTTTAACGGATGTAGGGTTAATGGGTTTTCGTTTTTTAGTTGATTGTAATAAGCTAAAGCTCACGGAGCGGGCCGACATATGTTTTAAAACCTGGATTGCGTGTCTAATTGATAACAGGATCAACGAACTCTTAATGATGAACTACTTTTAAAATAAATGTATAAAAATGTATTATGACTTTAAAGCGTGTGCGAATTATAGAAGTTTATAACACAAATCAGAGCATTACAACTTTTATTTCTTACAATAGAAGTTTTCTTTTAGCATAATCAATATTATCAATTGAAATTTGTGGTAAGTGCTTGCTTATCTATTTTGCAGTTCCACGAATCACACATAGTATTTATGACTTGATTCAATCACATACATACATACATACATACATATGTATGTATCTTTAAGAGGGCGCACCTCGGCAACGTATAGCGAAAAAGTGAAAAGGGCGCAACAGGGTGCCGTATAAGAGTGTGTCCCTGCTCGCCCACAACAATGGATGCACACAAACGCGCACACATACACACACACACACACATATGCATAACGAATAAACAGTAAAAGAAATATCTAAAAGAAGATTGCAACAAAACTTTGCACGCACTTCTTGAGTTTATTGAGCACGTACATACATACATGCATACATATGTATGGCAGATACATAGATATGCATCTACATGCCTGCATATGCCTTTATTGCACTTTGCAGATGGAATGCGGGAACGACAACAACAACAACAACAACAACAATATAAGTGCATTTAACACGGTATAAAGCTTCCTTTGTGACCAAACCAAGAAAAACACAAAAATGGCCCAGCCCAGGCCAAGTACGCACACACACCGTACACAATAACCGCAACAGCAAATTTACAAAAGTGCAACCGTAACTTTCGCTTTCCGCAAACTGTTTATTTTGTACATACATCTTGTTGTGATTGGAATTTGGCTTTAGTTAAATTTGCTTGCCTATATTTGGGTTGGGCTAAATTGATTTGCCATTTGATTTTCACTCACAATTGCCATTAATTTTCTTTATCCGCTTGTATTTGGTTTTACTGCATTCGAGCTTATTATCAAAATAAAGGCGACGGCGCGAACTTTGGAAACTACAAGAGCGGGGAGCGAACGCGTCCAAACTTAGCGGCGATACGGAAACAACTGAACGAAGAGCAGCGAAGTCGTGAATGTTCACGTTCGCGAACGTTACTTGGCTGTGTGTGTGTGTGTGTGTGTGTGTGTGTGTGTGTGTGTGTTCCTCTGTATGTGTACGCGAAGGGGGCTTAACTTGCTGTTTGTTTGTTTACTTTGCTCAAAATCCGCCCAATTTATTTAAATTTGCCGGTTTTTGGTTGCCATGCATCAAATTAAGTCTTATCAACAATTACCATAGTTCATCATTCGTACCTTAGCTTTCAATCAATTTTCAGCATTTGCATATTGAGTTCTTGGCAGATATCGTTTCGCTTCCTATTGCGCCAAAAACTTTTGTTTAAATTTAACGCCATCATATCGATAACATATCAATATACGTGACTGCAGCTGCTTGACCGTGTACAAGATGTGGCGCTGTTATCGAATATCGATTTGACTGGCGCTATTGTGACTTTCCACCCTAGCCGTTATTAAACAGTATTTTGATTTCTATTGAATACAAATAGCATCTATCTTTATAGTATTACCCCCATCTACGGGGTAATGCATCCCATTTCCAGTTTTTAAAGCTTTGAGAGCTAGTCGTCACATAACTTTATTTGTTTAAGTTCGCTTTAACGAATCTGCTTCTCGTCCGACCACCAAGTGGAGACATCCAATAGCTAATAATATGCCTAAAGTCTACATAATACGTATGTATGTACAAAATAATATCTAAAATACAATTCTCTTTAGTTTCAGACGTCTGCTCGGGCGCGTTTCTTGACTAGGGGCGAAGAGGAGCTTTGATTTTTATGTGGAAGGAACTGCAACTACATTTCATAGCCTATGGCTACTATGATATCTGGCAGCATTGCGCCTTTCTAGCCATGTTCGGGCCCTCCCAATGCGTCTGCAAATATATAGATGAAAGATGAATGAGTAAGGCGAAAGCTCTACGGTTAGTTGGGAAATATTTAAGTGTATACAGAATACAGAATACAGAATATAGTTTGTAAATTGTAATTGTACGACTAAAGAATAATTTAAAGCCAAAAAACTAAACAAAACAAAAAAAAAGCAGAATCCAAATGATCAAGTGGCTTTATTTAATAATATTTAAAGTAGATGAAGCAAAGCACAAACTATAACCACATATTACGCTAAAAAGAATAAATTAACTAAAACTCAGCTGCTTTTTACAGATGGTGTGTCTTGCTGTATAAATAGAATAAAAGAAAACAAAAATAAAATAAATGAAATAAACATATGTAGGTATTGCATTGAAAAGTTTGGGGAACAGTAAAATGTTAATTTCTAAAAACTTAACGTTATGTTTTAAGGTTTCCATGTGAGGAATTTCTGAAAAATGAATGTAGTCTAAAAAAAACTTCGAATACTAACGTGTTATAAAACGGTTTAATGTCCGGTTGATTTTCAAAATTATCATTCAATTGTTCCGAATAATAAATATTTCAATTATTTTGCTTTTCGGTTTTTCTTTAATGGATTAAGTAGCTTTATTGGTAGTTTTTAATTTTTGAATTAAACTGAGAAAAAAAAAAGAAAGCACATAATTTGTGTGTACTGAAAGTAGCTATCTTTGAATTGTGTCTTTATAAACGAGAATGTCGAAAAACTCGTTTGCCGAAGTTCCTCGCTTAACACAACCTGCATTGGCATCACACTCTATTATTAGGTTGGGTTATACGTGGTATTACGTAGTATACTATTTAATTGATTGCTTGTCTAACTTTTCTCAATGCTTCTACCAGCACAATTTGGTTAAAAACAACTTATAATTCGACTTCTTTAAAGTCGCCGCTTAGTTAGTTGTGTGTGTGTGGGTGTGTGTCCATTTAAAGCTTGCTTACTGTGATTTTTATTTTTATTTGTGTTTAATAATCATGTTTTCCCGATTTTAGTGTATTTTTCGTTAATTGTTGTATTTTTATTTTCTTGCTTTTGCGCAAATGTGGAATGCACGAGACGGAGGCGCGCTAAAAGTGCTAAAGTGCTTAATGGAAATTAGTTTACCCATTTACTGATTATGTCCTGTAAGAGATAAGAGCAGAGAGAGAGTAAGGAAATGCTTTAACGATAAGATTGCCTAATTCATCAATTATTAAGAGGCAGTCGCTGCGCCACGCCGCGCTGCACCGCACCGCGCACTCACCTTGACATCATTCATTTCCTCGTCGGACGACGAGTGTGACAGTCCGCTATATGTCTTGAACGTGACATTCTTCATGAACGACTTGAGCAGACTAGCGCTGAGCTGTCCAAATTTGTAAGGCACCACAGGATCATAGTCTCCGTGTGCTTGGAATATAGGCACCTCATCGCTGCTAATTTTGGCATTAGGGAACTGCTTGTGCAGTGGCAGCCAGCACGACAGAGCCACCACGCCAGCCAGTTGCTGTTCAAAGGTCAATGCCGAGTAGAGGGCCAGTGCGCCGCCCTGTGAGAAGCCGCCAAGCACAATGCGATTGGCCGGTATGCCGGCGCTCAACTCCTTATTTATCATGCCGTGTATATTGTCTCGTGCAGAGCGTATACCTGGCTCATCCTCGGGCCCGCCTATGTCCAGTGTCTTCAGATCGAACCATGAGGGCATACGAAATCCGGCATTCAGCGAAACCGGCTGTGTCGGCGCCGTTGGACAGATCACCTTCATGAATGGTGGACGCACAGCGGCTAAAGCGCTGCTCCAGCCATGTCTGCGGAGCACACAAATTATCAATATGCACAAAAATACCACACAGCCGTACATACCCAGTGTCGCCCAGGCCATGCATAAATATAAGCTGCGTTCGGAAAGACATTTTTAATTAATCGATCAGTTTTTGGAACAAGGTATTGTCTCTCACTCACCGTCGCCGTCTGCTTGGCCGTGGCCTCAACAATGACCGGTGCTGCCATGTCGACCGTTTAGCCTCTTTCGTTATGTGCACAGAAACAAAAACAGATTTCTAGGTATGTGCCAGGTACGCAGTGCTTTCTTTGCGCAGTTTTCTAAAAAAACAAAAACAAAACAGAAGCAACAACAAAGACTGCTTGTTAATTTCGTTATATGTACAATTTGTAAAGTTATGTCATTTCAAATAGAAAAAAAAACCAAAGCAAAATTAGCAATATTGATTTTGCGATTGCAAGTGTAATTTCACAGCGCCGGTCGAATATCTTATATTTAGGCTGTACACATTGCTTTAGAGTATAACTAGTTGCTTAAATTTATACGTTAGATGCCATGAATTTACCAAAACTTTCAGTTATTCTATTTAATTTATATCATTTACACCAAACTGTTTCAGCTGAGCTATTAGAAATATACACAGGCTTATACGTGTGCATATGTGTGACTTGTATGTGCATGCGGCCTGACCACTGACAGTTGGGACTATCGATAGTTGTTATGCAGCCCTGCGTGAGCAAATATCAATACGTGAATTACATTTTCGTGACTTATACTTCCTCCCCAATTTAAATGGCGCGTAAAGATAAAGCAGCTGTTTGATCACAGAGGCAACAAAACCTTGTTTCTTTTATTGGAAAGTCTGTTAAAAAGTCTATGTTGAAATTAATGGCGGGAACGGATTTTGCTTGGAAACAACCAATTTGTTGTGCGCATGTGAAATGTAGCCCTTAATTTTGCCATCGTAGATAAGATTCGCTATGATGCAGTGTGTCTCATCCATGGACACGTCTGTTACACCTACAAACTGCAATGCCGAAAGGAAATCACTCATATCCAATTGATGTGTCTGTCTAATGGCGAAAACCTTCTTAAATAGATTACGATACACAATAAACTTGAGCTTTTCGACGAGCAAGTAAATGCCACTCCGTATGAGCACCAGCTCCTGCTCGTGCACGATCTCATCAAACTTGTTCACATTTCCGGCCTTCAGGGCGAGCGCCAGATCGTGAAAGAGCAAAAGATCATAGCGTTCCAGCAGGGTTTTGCGTGGCAGGTAGCCGAGTAACATTTTCACCGGCACCAAATAAATGAGAATCAAGCGCTTGTTGCTCGTAAATCGGTCAGGGCAGTGGGTGAAGGCATATGACAGATCCTCCACAGCCATCCGATAGTTTGAATCAAACATGGCGCGCCGACCAACAAAATATTTGTAGGTAATTTGCTCCGGCAGCGGAAAGTTCTCCTTAAACGCACAATTGTCGATGGCTCGGATAAGAGGCTTGCACAGATGCAGTTTATTTATCCGAAAATATACCTTGAACAGCTGATTCACCAGATTCATCATGCCCAGTCGCTTTGTCTCCTCCTCCGAAGCACGTCCGTCGGCGGCGCACACGCGAAAACAGGCCATCATACAGTCAGCCGCCTTCTCCAGTATGTGGCCAGGTGTGAAACCACGACAATGCTTCTCGCACGCTTGTGCCAGGTAGCGCAGGTCGAGGCACACGCGGTACATGAGCGGAAGGCACCAGTTCTCATCCTTTAGTTGCTGCAGCAGCTTCACAACGGCCGAGCAACTGGCCGCCTGCTGGTTGTAGGCGTCCATGTAGTTGGGGGGCTCTTGGGCCAAATAGTAGAGCACCTTCAGATGTGCACCGACTACTTCATCCAATGGTGGCTTCAGCATGCGCTCCACCAGCTTTTCGGGCTGGGCTATGTACAAATTGTGATTCTGGACGTGTACGTCACGCAGCGATAAAAATGTGGCCAAATTGTCACCATCGTAGTCCTCGGCAGAACGTAACACACCGGAAAGATAATTATTAACGGTCCCAAACATGTTTCAAACCGTCCGGCGGAAGGATTAATAATAATAGCTAATCCTTAATCTTTCCAACACCTTATAAATTAGTTGAATGTGGTTTGCGAGTTTACTGTTGATGTTTTTCGGAGGAGGGCCGGCAAACAAAACAGAGATGGTTGGAACTACATAAGGATATCGATAAATCACACACATTAGCGACCATCGCGTAAAGTCGATAATATTTATATTGATACGCTGGCAGTGTGTACACACTTTTAGTGATTTATATTTGCTTAAAAATAACTGCATTTTAAAAGCCAAAAGATATAATAAATATTCACACAATCTCAAGGTCAAGATAGTAAAAAACTGCTGTGGTTGCCAAAAAGTTTCTAAATTTGAACAATATACGTACGTACATACATATGTACGCATGTTTGTAGTTTTAAAAGCTGTCAATGAAATTCGTTTGTAGCTAAATTAATAGGGCTTTCTCCTTGCGTTTACTATCGGTAAATGGAACAAGCGCGCTTCTAAAGAATAGTTCAATATAATTAGTTTCGCATAAAGAAAATGTCAACACCGAATTTTCTTTTGAGCAATGGCAAAAATATGCCAATGGTCGGCCTGGGCACATGGCGCGTAAGTAGACACATCGAAACTGCTCTGAAATTATTGAATAATCACAAAACAACGGCAAAATATACTAGGAAGCAATGTGTATATTCTGAACTTGTGTATAGTTCTCATTGTCTATGCCAACGACACTTGCCTTTGGCAGAGCGAGCTTTTTAAGCTCTCCAAGGCACTGCATTTGCATTAATGCAAACTTAAGCTTTTACAACCGGTATCATTGTTTGTTTTTAGAGCCCACCAGAAGTGATAACACAGGCAGTAAAGGATGCAATTGATATAGGATATCGTCACTTTGATTGCGCCCATATTTACGGAAATGAGGCACAAGTTGGCGCTGCGATTGCCGAGAAGCTCAAAGAGGGTGTAGTAACAAGGTAAACGTTATAAATTTGTAATAGCTAGAGATTCTTAATGGGATCATCCACAGGGATCAGCTCTTCATAACAAGTAAGCTATGGAATACGCACCATAGACCGGATCTGGTGCGTCCCGCCTGTGAGACAAGCATCTGTAATCTGGGTGTCGACTATCTGGATCTGTATCTCATGCATTGGCCCATGGCATATAAGTCGGGCAACAATCTCTATCCCACATGTCCCGACACTGGCAAAGCGGTATTTGAAAGTATCGATTTCGTAGACACCTGGAAGGCCATGGAGAATTTGGTTGACAGTGGCCTGTGTCACGCCATTGGTGTATCCAATTTCAATGAACAGCAAATCAATCGGCTGCTGAGCGTTGCCAAATTGAAGCCAGTCGTGCTACAAATCGAATGTCATCCGTATTTACGCCAGAAGACTTTGATCACCCTTTGCTACGACAATGCTATTGCCGTGACCGCTTACAGCTCATTGGGGTCCGCCCACACGCCCTACGAGAAGCCTGGTGCCTATCCGCTGCTCAAGCATCCAGTTATATTGGAAATAGCTGCCAAATACGAGCGTACGCCGGCACAGGTGCTACTGCGCTACCAGACGCAATCGGGCATTATAGTTATACCGCGCTCAGTCAGCAAGCATCACATGTACGAGAACTTCAAGAAGATTTGGGACTTTGGATTGGACAATGATGATTTGCAGGCCATCGATGACCTTGACTGCAACGGGCGCTTCATGACAATGAAAGCTGCCTATGGGCATCCACATCACCCCTTTGAAATTGATGCTCCAAAGCAATTATAAAACCACAATCGAAAGAGTATTTATTGGATTTAAAATCTTCTGTGTACCTGTGTCTATGTCGAGTGGATATGCATAGACATCGACACTAACTAATTAAATTAAGCTATTAAGTTTTGTTAACAAATGTCAAACAAGCTAGGATCATAAGATCTACGTTTTTCAAATATATTCTGATTTTAGTACTAAACGTTTTCAATTTTGGCTTTGTCAATATGCTGTTTTTTGTTTTAATGTATATTTTCATAATGCTCTTTTTCATGTAAAAATTTAAAACGTAGTAATCCCTGAAGAATTTGGCATTTATTAAAAACTACAAAAAAAAAAAGGAACAATCTACAAACAGAAACAAAACGTTAATTTTGATGATAAAGATGAACGGGCATTCTAGATATCCTATTCTGTTAATCCGATCCATATTAAAAACTACATTTAGAGGCTATACAAAACCTGAGAGATTCAAATGGTAAGCCGTTTATTGCCAGTTAAATGCGAGAAAAAATCTAATTAATTTCGAAACAGGTGCCAAGAGGAATTTAATTTTGTGCCTAAAGCAGTTCTTGCTGATGGAAAAGAAATGCCAATTATAGGACTCGGAACTTGGAATGTAAGTTAAGATTTACAATTCTATTCCATATAGTTATATTCATTAGATATTAGTTTTATTTACTGTATATACATTGTATATTCTACAAAAAACCAAATCTAAATAACTTTGAAAAACATTTATATTCTAAACGAAATTTATACACGCACACATACATACTATGGATAAAGTAGAGTTATGCGTATATCGCGCTCTGAAAAGTTTACGGCACAGTTTTCTCGAGTACACACAACTTCGACAGAGAGCCGAGGAGCATGCAAAACTTGTAAATATAAAACCTCAATTAAAGTTTGTCCGATATGTATCGATATTTATGGCGCTTGCAATTTGAAAGCGATCGCACAGCTGTTATCGATGCATATTTAAATGCAGACCTCGTGCTTTTCAAAAGCTTAGCAAAGCTTTCGCTTCGCAAAGGCGGCCATTGGGCATATAAAAGCGGCCTACAGCTGTGTGTCGGTGCTTAGTTTCTCATTCAATTTTTAAATAATCAATTCATATTAAATTAAATATATCCTTTATAAAAATAATTAAGCAAATAAAACAAATACTCGAAATGTCTAGCAAAGTGCCTACCGTTAAGCTAAACAGCGGCTACGATATTCCCATCATCGGTCTGGGTACCTGGAATGTAAGTACACGGACGTGCATATTAAAATAATTACAAATTTACAGTTAAAGGTTAAATTTGATTAGATGCTTACATTCGTATAACTTAAATATTCCTATAGTCTCATTTTATCCGTCACCCACGACTTCCTCCTTTTTTATTTACGTCGCGAAAATTGGAACAGACCCAACGAAGCTGATAATTAGCCGGGAGAGGCATCTGCTTTACGCCGGCTTTTAAATATGTACATATATGTATATGTATATGTATATGCATGTGAAAAATGCATGTGTATATGTGTCTGTGGGTGTGATCCGGTTGAAAAAACTTTAATGTAACAGGCGATAATGAGACCTCCAGCAATTTTCTACTACTTACATTTGTGTGAATTCACTTATTTACACAATCTTGTACCAAGGTGACCTCTTGTCCGATTTAATGTCAGCGGAAAATTTTTTAATTTGTCAAGTCACCTCTCAATAAATTATGTACAATACATACGGACTTACAAACGAGTACTCTAGTACTGATAAACTGATAAATGTGCTTATCAAGACACTTTTTGAATCTAGATGGTCAAAAGAGGCTTGCTATACTCTGTTGTCATTAAATACAGAAGGTATATTTGATAATTCAATCCTAAATGGAAAAATTGTATTGATATAATGACGTGTTTGTACTTTTGTCATTTCGCTAAACGGAAACTGAGTCTGTCTCGTATCGATATGAAAATAACCGTTACTGCTGATAAGTGACATTCAGTCGCAGATAGGCAGCTCAATTTACATTTCCTAAGTCATCCAGACAATATAAAACATTCCAATTAAATCATAAATTGTTAAATTAATCTTGACATATGGAAAAAGATTAATTAGCAAATCACCCTTAACCTCAATCCCATTTTGCTTGCCACACTAATGTGAAATATTTTGTTGTTGCTTTTCAGAGCCCTCCTGGACAAGTGGCTGAGGCGGTTAAGACTGCCATTGATGTTGGCTATCGGCACATTGATTGCGCCTATGTCTATCAGAACGAACCTGAGGTCGGTGCTGGCATTGAGGCCAAAATCAAGGAAGGCGTTGTCAAGCGGTATGTGATCCGAACAACTCTTTTACGCTTACGCATTACGTTTTGTTTTTTTTTCTTGTAGCGAGGATTTGTTCATCACCAGCAAGTTATGGAATACATTTCATCGTCCAGCCGCGGTCAGAGCTGCTTGTGAGAATACATTGGATTTATTGAAGCTGAAATACCTAGATCTATACTTGATCCACTGGCCAATGGGTTACAAGGAGGGATGCGAGCTGTTTCCAGTTGATAAAGATGGCAAAACTCTGTTCTCCCCAGACGATTACGTAGACACCTGGAAGGCCATGGAGAAGCTTGTTGAGGACGGTCTGGTCAAGTCCATTGGCGTTTCAAACTTCAACAAGAACCAAATCGAGCGCGTGCTGGCGGTTGCCAAAATACCCCCAGCCACAAATCAGATCGAATGCCATCCGTATTTAACCCAGAAGAAACTTTCCGATTTTTGCAAATCAAAGAATATTTCCATTACCGCATACAGCCCTTTGGGCAGCCCAAACCGTCCTTGGGCCAAGGAGGGTGATCCCGTAATTCTAGAGGAAAAAGCCGTAAGTCATAAAACGCATAAACGCACAACAAACTGTTCAACCTTCAAACTGTAACCTCTTGTAGATTAAGGACATTGCTGAATCCAAGAAAAAGACACCTGGACAGATTCTGATACGCTATCAGATCCAGCGCAATAACATTGTTATACCAAAGTCTGTGACCAAGGAACGTATCGAATCGAACTTCAAAGTGTTTGATTTCGTTTTAACACCTGAGGAAATCAAAACAATTGAAAGTTTCGAATGCAATGGACGCCTGGTGCCACTGCTCAAGTAAGTTTTCTGTTTATTAATTCCCATTGAAATTCTTTTCAATCGAAAAGTAGTTTGTTAAGTATTTATATAAGTGGTGAATTTATTACTATTATTTTCTATTTATTTTACTTTGATATTTCTATATATGGATTTGATTGTAATTTTTTGAAAATATGATTATTTAGAGATGCTGGCGGTCATAAATATTATCCATTTCACGACGAGTATTAAATTAAATCACACGAAATCTTTCTAACCATATGAGACATATGATATATGAATACCCATAGTTAAGTAAATATTTCTGGCGAAACTAACAGCGCGCAATCCGAGAAGCACAGACGTATGTTTAAATACTTTACCTATTTTTTTACAGCCTGTTTGTTTTGTTTATTTACTCGTTTCACTGTTCAGCAAATAGTTACCCGCTTTTGTACTCCAATCTATTTTAATTTGATTGGAATGCACTTTAGTTAATCAAAAAAAAAAAACTAAACCAAACTATATTCCTAATACCTCACTAACAATTATAAAGTACTTTCCAGTTTGTTAGACCCGTAGTTAGACGAGTGTTAACTTTGTTTTGATTTTATTGCTGCTTTTGAATTCAATTTATATATTTCACTTGTACTTACACTTATCATTTTCGATATTTTACAGCCAATTTGGTCATCCACACCATCCATTTGAGAAGGATGAGTTCTGATTGAAGTCTTTGATGACAATATATATATCTATACAATAAACCCTATACTAATGTACATATGGTATAAATAAAATGTTGAAAGAATAAATTTGAATATGGCATAATTTGGTAAATTCTAATCTGCTGAGAACTCAAATAAACAACGCTTTGTCTTGGCAACACGCTCCTCATACTCCAATTATATTTGGTAATTGCAGCACGTTTGACGTCTTAGCCAAAGTAAAGTCTTAAGAAAGTCTGAATCTTGTTTAATCTAAGCTCGGAGCAAATATTTTGCACAGCTGTTTATTTCCTTTTCTATATGGTTTCGTGGGTTCAGTATCAAGTAACTAATTTTTAACTTTTTTTTTTGGCATGGAACAATAGAAGTACCAAATGTTTTGGAACAATGAGAAATTTGCTTAACTGCACAAAAGCATCTACGCAAATATCCAAATTATAGGAAAGACAATAAACCCGAATATGTTGATAAAGTATAAAAGCAGCCCAGTTGTCGTTGTGGCCAACAGATAAAGTTGAGCCCACGTTCTTGGTAGACAATGCGTATATTTTGTATCGCCCTCTTGGGCACCTTCGTGGCACTCGCAGCCGGTGCTCACATTCATACGGAGACAGCAGTGAGCACCGAGGCGGTGAAGCCGAAGCCAGGAACTACCGGTCCTTGTTGTGAAAGTGTGAGACAAACCCTTCTAGATATTCGGAAAGATATTCGCTTGTGGCTCTTGGATAGACTTTTCGGTAAATTAATACTTATACACGATGGTGAACTTGACGGAAATCATAATCATGTGAAATGTGCAAATAACCGGATAACTTCAACAGCTGACGTTTTAGGAGTTCAGCAAAATAACGTTCAATTTGATTCAATCATAAACGATATTAGAAAGACTATTCCGCATAATCACAGATCTTCGGGCCGTGTTGATAAAATAATTAAAAGTGGAACCAAAAGTTCAAGCTCAACTACAACTGCGACATCGTCTGGTGGAGACTCACAGCAATCTGGCTCAACCACGACAACGACAACCTCTGAGGAAACCAGTTCATCGGTGGATCCCGTCGTAGAAGAGAATTCCGGCCAGACTAGCACTGTTGTTGAAACCGGCAACAATGTTGAATCGGAATCCTCCTCAAACACGATCACATCTTCGGATGAATCGAGTCAGACTAGTTCATCGTCGACATCTGATGCAGAAACTGTTGTTGGAGGTGGAGACTCACAGCAATCTGGCACAACCACGACAACGACAACCTCTGAGGAAACCAGTTCATCGGTGGATCCCGTCGTAGAAGAGAGTTCCGGTGAGACTAACACTGTTGTTGAAACCGGCAACAATGTTGAATCGGGATCTTCCTCGAACACGATCACATCTTCGGAAGAAACGAATCAGTCTAGTTCAACATCAACATCAGGTGGCGACACTGTTGTTGAAGGTGGAGACTCACAGCAATCTGGCTCAACCACGACAACGACAACCGTTGAGGAAACCAGTTTATCGGTGGATCCCGTCGTAGAAGAGAGTTCCGGCCAGACTAACACTGTTGTTGAAACCGGCGACAATGTTGAATCGGAATCCTCCTCGAACACGATCACATCCTCGGATGAATCGAGTCAGTCTAGTTCAACATCAACATCAGGTGGCGACACTGTTGTTGGAGGTGGAGACTCACAGCAACCTGGTTCAACCACGACAACGACAACCTCTGAGGAAATCAGTTCATCGGTGGATCCCGTCGTAGAAGAGAGTTCCGGCCAGACTAACACTGTTGTTGAAGCCGGCGACAATGTTGAATCGGGATCCTCCTCGAACACGATCACATCCTCGGATGAATCGAGTCAGTCTAGTTCAACATCAACATCAGGTGGCGACACTGTTGTTGGAGGTGGAGACTCACAGCAATCTGGCTCAACCACGACAACGACAACCTCTGAGGAATCAAATGAATCGGTGGATCCCGTCGCAGAAGAGAATTCCGGCCAGACTAACACTGTTGTTGAAACCGGCAACAATGTTGAATCGGAATCCTCCTCGAATACGATCACATCTTCTGATGAATCAAGTCAGTCTAGTTCAACATCAGGTGGCGACACTGTTGTTGGAGGTGGGGACTCACAGCAATCTGGCTCAACCACGACAACGACAACCTCTGAGGAATCTAATGAATCGGTGGATCCCGTCGCAGAAGAGAATTCCGGCCAGACTAATACTGTTGTTGAAACCGGCAACAATGTTGAATCGGGATCCTCCTCGAACACGATCACATCTTCGGATGAATCGAGTCAGTCTAGTTCATCGTCGACATCTGATGCTGAAACTGTTGTTGGAGGTGGAGACTCACAGCAATCTGGCTCAACCACGACAACGACAACCTCTGAGGAATCTAATGAATCGGTGGATCCCGTCGTAGAAGAGAGTTCTGGCCAGACTAACACTGTTATTGAAACCGACAACAATGTTGAATCGGGATCCTCCTCGAACACGATCACATCTTCGGATGTATCAAGTCAGTCTAGTTCAACATCAACATCAGGTGGCGACACTGTTGTTGGAGGTGGAGACTCACAGCAATCTGGCTCAACCACGACAACGACAACCTCTGAGGAATCTAATGAATCGGTGGATCCCGTCGCAGAAGAGAATTCCGGCCAGACTAACACTGTTGTTGAAACCGGCAACAATGTTGAATCGGAATCCTCCTCGAATACGATCACATCTTCTGATGAATCAAGTCAGTCTAGTTCAACATCAGGTGGCGACACTGTTGTTGGAGGTGGAGACTCACAGCAATCTGGCTCAACCACGACAACGACAACCTCTGAGGAATCTAATGAATCGGTGGATCCCGTCGCAGAAGAGAATTCCGGCCAGACTAATACTGTTGTTGAAACCGGCAACAATGTTGAATCGGGATCCTCCTCGAACAAGATCACATCTTCGGATGAATCGAGTCAGTCTAGTTCATCATCGACATCTGATGCTGAAACTGTTGTTGGAGGTGGAGACTCACAGCAATCTGGCTCAACCACGACAACGACAACCTCTGAGGAATCTAATGAATCGGTGGATCCCGTCGCAGAAGAGAATTCCGGCCAGACTAACACTGTTGTTGAAACCGGCAACAATGTTAAATCGGAATCCTCCTCGAATACGATCACATCTTCTGATGAATCAAGTCAGTCTAGTTCAACATCAACATCAGGTGGCGACACTGTTGTTGGAGGTGGAGACTCACAGCAATCTGGCTCAACCACGACAACGACAACCTCTGAGGAATCTAATGAATCGGTGGATCCCGTCGTAGAAGAGAGTTCCGGCCAGACTAACACTGTTGTTGAAGCCGGCGACAATGTTGAATCGGGATCCTCCTCGAACACGATCACATCCTCGGATGAATCGAGTCAGTCTAGTTCAACATCAACATCAGGTGGCGACACTGTTGTTGGAGGTGGAGACTCACAGCAATCTGGCTCAACCACGACAACGACAACCTCTGAGGAAATCAGTTCATCGGTGGATCCCGTCGTAGAAGAGAGTTCCGGCCAGACTAACACTGTTGTTGAAACCGGCAACAATGTTGAATCGGGATCTTCCTCGAACACGATCACATCTTCGGAAGAAACGAATCAGTCTAACACTGTTGTTGAAACCGGCAACAATGTTGAATCAGAATCCTCCTCGAATACGATCACATCTTCTGATGAATCAAGTCAGTCTAGTTCAACATCAACATCAGGTGGCGACACTGTTGTTGGAGGTGGAGACTCACAGCAATCTGGCTCAACCACGACAACGACAACCTCTGAGGAATCTAATGAATCGGTGGATCCCGTCGCAGAAGAGAATTCCGGCCAGACTAATACTGTTGTTGAAACCGGCAACAATGTTGAATCGGGATCCTCCTCGAACACGATCACATCTTCGGATGAATCGAGTCAGTCTAGTTCATCGTCGACATCTGATGCTGAAACTGTTGTTGGAGGTGGAGACTCACAGCAATCTGGCTCAACCACGACAACGACAACCTCTGAGGAATCTAATGAATCGGTGGATCCCGTCGTAGAAGAGAGTTCCGGCCAGACTAACACTGTTGTTGAAGCCGGCAACAATGTTGAATCGGGATCCTCCTCGAACACGATCACATCCTCGGATGAATCGAGTCAGTCTAGTTCAACATCAACATCAGGTGGCGACACTGTTGTTGGAGGTGGAGACTCACAGCAATCTGGCTCAACCACGACAACGACAACCTCTGAGGAAACCAGTTCATCGGTGGATCCCGTCGTAGAAGAGAGTTCCGGCCAGACTAACACTGTTGTTGAAACTGGCAACAATGTTGAATCGGGATCCTCCTCGAACACGATCACATCTTCGGAAGAAACGAATCAGTCTAGTTCAACATCAACATCAGGTGGCGACACTGTTGTTGGAGGTGGAGACTCACAGCAATCTGGCTCAACCACGACAACGACAACCTCTGAGGAATCTAATGAATCGGTGGATCCCGTCGCAGAAGAGAATTCCGGCCAGACTAACACTGTTGTTGAAACCGGCAACAATGTTGAATCGGAATCTTCCTCGAATACGATCACATCTTCGGATGAATCAAGTCAGTCTAGTTCAACATCAACATCAGGTGGCGACACTGTTGTTGGAGGTGGAGACTCACAGCAATCTGGCTCAACCACGACAACGACAACCTCTGAGGAAACCAGTTCATCGGTGGATCCCGTCGTAGAAGAGAGTTCCGGCCAGACTAACACTGTTGTTGAAACTGGCAACAATGTTGAATCGGGATCCTCCTCGAACACGATCACATCTTCGGAAGAAACGAATCAGTCTAGTTCAACATCAACATCAGGTGGCGACACTGTTGTTGGAGGTGGAGACTCACAGCAATCTGGCTCAACCACGACAACGACAACCTCTGAGGAATCTAATGAATCGGTGGATTCCGTCGCAGAAGAAAATTCCGGCCAGACTAACACTGTTGTTGAAACCGGCAACAATGTTGAATCGGAATCTTCCTCGAATACGATCACATCTTCGGATGAATCAAGTCAGTCTAGTTCAACATCAACATCAGGTGGCGACACTGTTGTTGGAGGTGGAGACTCACAGCAATCTGGCTCAACCACGACAACGACAACCTCTGAGGAAACCAGTTCATCGGTAGATCCCGTCGTAGAAGAGAGTTCCGGCCAGACTAACACTGTTGTTGAAACCGGCAACAATGTTGAATCGGGATCCTCCTCGAACACGATCACATCTTCGGATGAATCGAGTCAGTCTAGTTCATCGTCGACATCTGATGCAGAAACTGTTGTTGGAGGTGGAGACTCACAGCAATCTGGCTCAACCACGACAACGTCAACCTCTGAGGAAACCAGTTCATCGGTGGATCCCGTCGTAGAAGAGAGTTCCGGCCAGACTAACACTGTTGTTGAAACCGACAGCAATGTTGAATCGGGATCCTCCTCGAACACGATCACATCTGCGGATGAATCAAGTCAGTCTAGTTCATCGTCGACATCTGATGCAGAAACTGTTGTTGGAGGTGGAGACTCACAGCAATCTGGCTCAACCACGACAACGACAACCTCTGAGGAAACCAATTCATCGGTGGATCCCGTCGTAGAAGAGAATTCCAGCCAGACTAACACTGTTGTTGAAACCGGCAACAATGTTGAATCGGAATCCTCCTCGAACACGATCACATCTTCGGAAGAAACGAATCAGTCTAGTTCAACATCAACATCAGGTGGCGACACTGTTATTGAAGGTGGAGACTCACAGCAATCTGGCTCAACCACGACAACGACAACCTCTGAGGAAACCAATTCATCGGTGGATCCCGTCGTAGAAGAGAATTCCAGCCAGACTAACACTGTTGTTGAAACCGGCAACAATGTTGAATCGGGATCTTCCTCGAACACGATCACATCTTCGGAAGAAACGAATCAGTCTAGTTCAACTTCAACATCAGGTGGCGACACTGTTGTTGAAGGTGGAGACTCACAGCAATCTGGCTCAACCACGACAACGACAACCTTTGAGGAAACCAGTTCATCGGTGGATCCCGTCGTAGAAGAGAGTTCCGGCCAGACTAGCACTGTTGTTGAAACCGGCAACAATGTTGAATCGGGATCTTCCTCGAACACGATCACATCTTCGGATGAATCGAGTCAGTCTAGTTCAACATCAACATCAGGTGACGACACTGTTGTTGGAGGTGGAGACTCACAGCAATCTGGCTCAACCACGACAACGACAACCTCTGAGGAAACCAGTTCATCGGTGGATCCTGTCGTAGAAGAGAGTTCCGGCCAGACTAACACTGTTGTTGAAACCGGCAACAATGTTGAATCGGAATCCTCCTCGAACACGATCACATCTTCGGATGAATCGAGTCAGTCTAGTTCAACATCAACATCAGGTGGCGACACTGTTGTTGAAGGAGGAGACTCACAGCAATCTGGCTCAACCACGACAACCTCCGAGGAATCTAATGCATCGGTGGATCCCGTCGTAGAAGAGAATTCCGGCCAGACTAGCACTGTTGTTGAAACCGGCAACAATGTTAAATCGGGATCTTCCTCGAACACGATCACATCTTCGGATGAATCGAGTCAGTCTAGTTCATCATCGACATCTGGTGCAGAAAATGTTGTTGGAGGTGGAGACTCACAGCAATCTGGCTCAACCACGACAACGACAACCTCTGAGGAAACCAGTTCATCGGTGGATCCTGTCGTAGAAGAGAGTTCCGGCCAGACTAACACTGTTGTTGAAACCGGCAACAATGTTGAATCGGAATCCTCCTCGAACACGATCACATCTTCGGATGAATCGAGTCAGTCTAGTTCAACATCAACATCAGGTGGCGACACTGTTGTTGAAGGAGGAGACTCACAGCAATCTGGCTCAACCACGACAACCTCCGAGGAATCTAATGCATCGGTGGATCCCGTCGTAGAAGAGAATTCCGGCCAGACTAGCACTGTTGTTGAAACCGGCAACAATGTTAAATCGGGATCTTCCTCGAACACGATCACATCTTCGGATGAATCGAGTCAGTCTAGTTCAACATCAACATCAGGTGACGACACTGTTGTTGGAGGTGGAGACTCACAGCAATCTGGCTCAACCACGACAACGACAACCTCTGAGGAAACCAGTTCATCGGTGGATCCCGTCGTAGAAGAGAGTTCCGGCCAGACTAGCACTGTTGTTGAAACCGGCAACAATGTTGAATCGGGATCTTCCTCGAACACGATCACATCTTCGGATGAATCGAGTCAGTCTAGTTCAACATCAACATCAGGTGGCGACACTGTTGTTGGAGGTGGAGACTCACAGCAATCTGGCTCAACCACGACAACGACAACCTCTGAGGAATCTAATGAATCGGTGGATCCCGTCGCAGAAGAAAATTCCGGCCAGACTAACACTGTTGTTGAAACCGGCAACAATGTTGAATCGGAATCTTCCTCCAATACGATCACATCTTCGGATGAATCAAGTCAGTCTAGTTCAACATCAACATCAGGTGGCGACACTGTTTTTGAGGGTGGAGACTCACAGCAATCTGGCTCAACCACGACAACGACAACCTCTGAGGAAACCAATTCATCGGTGGATCCCGTCGTAGAAGAGAATTCCAGCCAGACTAACACTGTTGTTGAAACCGGCAACAATGTTGAATCGGAATCCTCCTCGAACACGATCACATCTTCGGAAGAAACGAATCAGTCTAGTTCAACATCAACATCAGGTGGCGACACTGTTATTGAAGGTGGAGACTCACAGCAATCTGGCTCAACCACGACAACGACAACCTCTGAGGAAACCAATTCATCGGTGGATCCCGTCGTAGAAGAGAATTCCAGCCAGACTAACACTGTTGTTGAAACCGGCAACAATGTTGAATCGGGATCTTCCTCGAACACGATCACATCTTCGGAAGAAACGAATCAGTCTAGTTCATCTTCAACATCAGGTGGCGACACTGTTGTTGGAGGTGGAGACTCACAGCAATCTGGCTCAACCACGACAACGACAACCTCTGAGGAAACCAGTTCATCGGTGGATCCCGTCGTAGAAGAGAGTTCCGGCCAGACTAGCACTGTTGTTGAAACCGGCAACAATGTTGAATCGGGATCTTCCTCGAACACGATCACATCTTCGGATGAATCGAGTCAGTCTAGTTCATCATCGACATCTGGTGCAGAAAATGTTGTTGGAGGTGGAGACTCACAGCAATCTGGCTCAACCACGACAACGACAACCTCTGAGGAAACCAGTTCATCGGTGGATCCTGTCGTAGAAGAGAGTTCCGGCCAGACTAACACTGTTGTTGAAACCGGCAACAATGTTGAATCGGAATCCTCCTCGAACACGATCACATCTTCGGATGAATCGAGTCAGTCTAGTTCAACATCAACATCAGGTGGCGACACTGTTGTTGAAGGAGGAGACTCACAGCAATCTGGCTCAACCACGACAACCTCCGAGGAATCTAATGCATCGGTGGATCCCGTCGTAGAAGAGAATTCCGGCCAGACTAGCACTGTTGTTGAAACCGGCAACAATGTTAAATCGGGATCTTCCTCGAACACGATCACATCTTCGGATGAATCGAGTCAGTCTAGTTCAACATCAACATCAGGTGACGACACTGTTGTTGGAGGTGGAGACTCACAGCAATCTGGCTCAACCACGACAACGACAACCTCTGAGGAAACCAGTTCATCGGTGGATCCCGTCGTAGAAGAGAGTTCCGGCCAGACTAGCACTGTTGTTGAAACCGGCAACAATGTTGAATCGGGATCTTCCTCGAACACGATCACATCTTCGGATGAATCGAGTCAGTCTAGTTCAACATCAACATCAGGTGGCGACACTGTTGTTGGAGGTGGAGACTCACAGCAATCTGGCTCAAGCACGACAACGACAACCTCTGAGGAAACCAGTTCATCGGTGGATCCCGTCGTAGAAGAGAGTTCCGGCCAGACTAGCACTGTTGTTGAAACCGGCAACAATGTTGAATCGGGATCCTCCTCGAACACGATCACATCTTCGGATGAATCGAGTCAGTCTAGTTCAACATCAACATCAAGTGGCGACACTGTTGTTGGAGGTGGAGACTCACAGCAATCTGGCTCAACCACGACAACGACAACCTTTGAGGAGACCAGTTCATCGGTGGATCCCGTCGTAGAAGAGAGTTCCGGCCAGACTAACACTGTTGTTGAAACCGGCAACAATGTTGGATCGGAATCCTCCTCGAACACAGCGACATCTTCGGACGAAACCAATCAGTCCAGTTCAACGACAAATTCTGGGGCTGGGAATGCTGCTGGAAGTGGAGACTCTCAACAATCTGACTCAACCACAATTACGAAAACATCTGAAAAATCAAGCTCATCAGTGGACCCTAGCACAGTGGTTAAAAACGGAAAAAGCGAGCAGTCTGGAACCTTCACGACCACTAGAGTTGTTGGAGGTGGCAACACATACCGATCCGGCTCCACCAAAACTTCGACAACAGCAAATCAAATTCCAACCCAAGGCGGTTCGAGGAAGAAAAGAGTAGCTTCGAGTTCTTGGTCAAAGCGGTCTAGTTCATCAACCAAGGGTACGAAACCATCAAGCAAGGTGGTTGTAAGTGTCAACTCTGGAAGTTCCACTGCAAATGGAAACGCCGTCCGAAACGGTGGCAAGTCCGGAACTCGCACTACTTACACTTGGTCGAAGCGTTCCAGCTCCTCAGGCATTCCGGGTGTTATCGGAAAGGTCATCAAGAGGGGTCAAGAAAGCAGTTTATCATCTGACGTCGGAGATACCCTTGAAACAGACGATTCGCAAATAAATACTGGACAGATCGCTCTAAACAAGAAATCAAAAAGATATGCCAGTAGAAGCATGAAAGTAGGAGGCGCCCGATACGGAACTGGAGCCTATCCATACTGGTGGGGATCGCAAGGGGCATGGATGGGAGCCAGTCCGACCTGGGACTATTACGGAACTGGATGGGGCAACGACGCTTGGAATGGTCAATACCTAAACTAACATTATCAATGAAAGTATCTGTCAAATGCTTCCGTTTGTACAGCAATATATGTAAATGTTGACAGTTCTGTTTTTAAACAGTTAGTAAAATATCTATGCAAATCAATATATTTATCCGCATTTTATTTGAAGTGAAATCCGCTTTTTGTTTGATATTCATGTCTAGAATAAGGCCATGACAAAGTCATGGAAAAATTTATATATGTAGATAAGTGACTTATTGTGATATTCTTTGAGCTACTATGAATACAAAGCTATATAAAGTCAGTATAGGAAAAATATTCAAATAAATACCGAGAAAACATTGTTATTTCAGCTGTTGACTAGATGATTTATAATGCAAATTACTATTTGATGGCAAATATTCGCCCGCGCATTTGCCTAAATATTTGTTTAATATGTGGTGAACCTAAAGTTGTCATGAAATTAAACTGTTTTCGAATAAGCTGGAGATTCTTCTACTTATTATTATCAATTAAATAATTTTCCAAGACGTATCGTGCAATTTAAAATCATCAATAGTATACAACAATAGGATTAAACTTAGCAGAATGAAAGGCAATCGGTGCCACAAGAAATTATATAACTTATTATTCGTGTATATTATTGCTATAAAAAAAAAAGCTAAATTTAGCCGTAAAAAAAAACGAATATTGCAACACTACCGAGCTACATGATTATTATCAGATGTTCGCCGTATGGCGCGACAAGCTGACTCAATGAAATTGCCTAAAAAATGCCAAAACTGCAAGAAGAAGCACAACGTGCGCATCTGACGAATTTGTGATTGGTGTAAATACAAAAATCGAACAGACTCTCCTGGCTTTAAACTTTCTAATAACATAAAAACAAAACTGCACGAGCTTATTATAAACTATGAAATTTGTTATATTATAAAGTGCACTGCGCACAATTATACAACTGAGCGAAGCGACGTATTTAATTAATCGTTTCTGCAACAGTGCAAGAGACAAAGACGATTGCTAGCAAACACTACACACAGACACACACACACACGCACATACATGCAGGCACAGCAAACACACACACACATTGAAACGAAAATCACAAAATTTTCACCATTTACATTGGCTATGAATATGATTTCATAGTTGTGCGTCGAATAAATTACTACATCAACTGTTTTGAGAGCAGCAACCATAATAATAATAACAACAACAATAACATAATATAATATAAGTGCGTTAATAAGGGAATCTACTCAAGCAGCGTTTGCCACACGGACAAAGAACTTGTGTAAAAAAAAAAGTGATACCACATACACACACAAACGCAGAAGAAAATCTAATTCTGAGCTGGCCAACAGCTTACCAAATTTCCCATAACATATGTGTTCAACTTTCGCATAACAAAAACAAGCAGCAGACGAATCATTTGAAGCTTCGCATTAACGAATTGCGTGGTAGTTTACAGGCGGCCACAGCATGACCATAAAGCCAGTCAGTGCACCCAGTGGCAAGCGCGTGGTCGATGCGGATGCCACCGAGGCCCACGTCTCTGGTCAGGTAGTGGTGGAGCAATCGGTTGTCAATCAGGCCCATCGCAATGTTGTTATCGATGGCCATGGCCAGGTGCGTATTAACATCGCAATTAATGCATTTGCATCACTTATGATATAATTTCTATGCCCGCAGAGTCCACAGCGCCGTGGGGAGGTCTACGACGAGCTGGCACGCACACATCGCTGCAGTCCACACAAGAGGTGAGTGTGGATTCCTGGCCAGATAATCTATGTTTTGTCCTATAACTATGCTGCCACGATGTCCGTCTGCCTTTCCGCAAACTAGTCTCTTAAGGTGTTTTATCTTCATAAATGCGTCATAGATCCGTCTCGTTGCTGCGACTGGAACAAATCACTATATCATAAAGCTGCCGCAGGACCTTTTTTCCATTTAATGAGTTTAAACTTTTTGGCCAAAACTAATCAAAAGCGGATCACTATATAATGAAGCTGCTACAGGATCTTTCTGTATAAAGATTTTCTTGTTTGTTCTATGCCTAACTGCATCAAGCATTTTATTTGTTAAATGGCTTTATTGGTATTTTTTTATCTTGCATCTGTCATTCTCCTGCATCTACGACAACCCAATTATACCTTTTCTTAAACGCTACCTACGTCTAATCAATTTTCCTGTTTTACAGCTCACGCTCGAAACGACGCGAACACCACGAGGGCCACGCTCATCATCACAAGCGCGATCGCTTGGAGCGCGAAAAACTCAGCCTTAATCACCCGACTGTAGGAGGTGGCGGCGTTGCGGGCGTCACCAGCAAATGCAGTAGTCCACATTCAGTGGTGGCAGCTGCCGTTGCGGCCGGGCCGGGCAATAGCAGTCCCACGGCCGTGGGTCGCAAATCGCCGGAACATCTGGGCCTAGGCTGTGCCAACGTACCAAAAGCGCAGACCCAGATCACACCGGCTGCTGCGGCGGCCAACTTGCTCAAGGCGGTCGAGGAGACATTTTCTGGCTATAATAGCGGTGATGAGCATCTGCAGCCCAAGGAGCGCACCATTTCGGTCGAGGAGTGGAAGAGGCGCGACGAGGAGTTTGCCAAGTGCATGGAGAAGCGCGGCTATGAACTGAAGCCCGTGGAGGAAGACGGCGCCTGCCTATTTCGCTCAATATCTCTGCAGATCTATGGCGATGAGGGCATGCACGATGTCATACGTCAGCACACAATGGACTATATTGTAATATCTATATATGTATTTATGCACATATTATATTGATTTAAGTTTTCCATTCATTTTTTCTAGCATGAGAACCGCGAGTACTTTGGTCAGTTTGTCACCGAGGACATCAACGGCTACATTCAACGAAAACGGGCTCGGGATGCACACGGCAATCACATCGAGATACAGGCCATATCAGAGATCTACAGTCGCACCGTCGAAGTCTATTGCTATCAGTCGAGTTAGTATTCAATTTCGTTATAAGCTCTGTAGTCCAACAGGCGTCCGATTCCAAAAGACCGTCCGATTCTTGTTTTTAAATTATCAGCTATCCCTTTTAAATTTTTTTTTGCACCCTGTGCTGAATGGTTTTAATTCATGTTTATTTATACTCTGTTAAAAAATTGAAATGGGTTTATAGGTCTCGGCAATGTTCGTCCGCATGAGTTATACTTTTAATGTTTATTTTGGATGGCAAATAAATACAAAATATGACAAGAAACCATCGCACCTTCACACCTCCATGTTCCTGCAATTCCCAAAGGCAGAATTTTGTATTAAGATGTATTTGTATTCCGCACAAATCTTTGGCAATGAGAAACATAAGTGTTGCAAGTTTCGCTATGAAAATAACTTAAAGCCCGTTGGACGATTTACTTTTTCTTTGACAGCCTTGTGCACCCAATTGCCAACGTTTTTCACAATCCCTCTCATTGTGCGCGCCTTCATCCGTTATGAAAGGTGTGGCCAAAAACTCTGGTTTATAGTGGAGCCCGTTGACTATGGAGAATAAAGTCTTGATCTCTTAAACATTTGTGCTTATATTTTTTATTTTGAATACTTCCAGCTCCCATCAACATCTTCAATTCGGAGCAATCGCAGGCTGGTTATCCGCCGCTGCGTTTGTCCTATCAACGAGGCTCTCACTATAATGCGATACTGGATCCTTACAATGCCACTGTGGGCGTCGGCTTGGGGTTGGCTGGTTACAAGCCCGAGTTTCAGACCAAGGAGGCAGTGCGTCTTAGCGAGCAGCTGGAAATTGAACAGGTAATCTTACAATAATATATATATATATAAATCAATATGACATTAATTTATATTTCTTGTGTAGACAATGTTTGAGGATAAGCTAAAGACAACAGACTGGGAAGCTACCAACGAGGCCATCGAGGAGCAAATCGCTCGCGAGTCCTATTTACAATGGTGCCGTGATAATATGCAGCGTTCGCGCAGCAGCAACACAGCCGCCACTTCGGCAACATCTTCAACAGTGACATCTGCCGAGGCGCTTACCGACTCTGACGCTTCACCCTCCAAATACTCAAGCGATGGAGGAGGAGGAGGAGGAAGCTGTGGCAGCAGTAACAACAACAGCAGCACAGCCGCCACCTTGAGCAGCTCCAGCGTCGGTGATGGCCCAGCCTCTGGCTTTGCACTATCGCCCAAGAGCCTAGGCCAGTTTACACACAAGCTACCGCCCGAAGTGAACGAACTGGGCGGCTATGAGAGCGATGCCACCGATATGAGCAGCACAAGCTCAGTGGGCCACTGTGGAGGCAATGCTTCGCCCAATACAGCGGCCGCCACACAGCGCTCCAAAAAATTGCCCAAATCCCAGCGTCGCAGCAACAACCTGCGCAGCAGCAAGAAACGTCGTCACGAAGTGCGTGAGGCAGGCAACAGGTATGTGCCAGCTATCCATTAGTGCCACCATCGCAACTCTCACATATGATTTGTTGCCCGATTGTAGTCTGGAAGTACACGAAACGCCGCAGCGTAAGAGTCCCAAGCGCGATGCAGCGCCCTCAGCTGCAAGAGAGCGCACGCCGGAAGTGGAACAGCAACCATGCACCTCCAAACAGTCGTCCCAGTCGCCACCCAAACGTGTCGATGCTCAGTCGCCGCCAAAGCAGAGCTACTCCAGCTTCTATCAGGAGCTGCTCGAGGCCTCCTACGCCAACGATGGTTAGTACAGTTTTTATTTTGTTTAATACAAGAAACTTCCAATTTACATTTTTCCTCCGATCTTCGCCAGGCGTCAATGAGAACGAGATGCTGCAGCGAGCCATACAGATGTCTACACGCGATTATATGGATGATCAGAAGCGAAAATATTTGTGCGGCCCATAGATAGCCAAAGCCAAGGCTATCTAACAGTGTTACGCGTCGGTCTTTTGTACAGTGATTAAATTTATCTTTCGCAACGAAAACAAAACACAACAAATGAACCAAAAAAAAAAAAAAAAAACTAAACACCAACAAAAGAATGAAAGAAACACAATACACACATTTTGTACGACTAATAATAAAAATTGATAAGTGAGGAAGTGCCCGCAGGACTCGAATGTCCTGGACGCCCTGCAGATATTGGCACACACCATACACACACTCACATACACACACATGAATACGTCATACATATATATCTATATATATACATATACACACAAAAACAGAATGTTTTGAAATAAGAAACTGTTCGTTATAGCATTAAACACAGGCAGATTTGAATTAGTTCAAGCACAATATTTTTTATATGGCTTGACTCGAATCTCTGCTAATCTCTGCGATGTAGTAGTTACCATCCCCCTCCCCGCCCCATCCATATTTTCCGCACAATTCCTTTAACATATATTTAATTAACCTAACGTATATTTTGTAATATCTTAAGTTAAGCTGTACGCAGGCAAAGATCATTCAGTATATACATAGAAAGAACAGCACGAACATATGATAAAAAAAATTACATATACATACACAAATTGCATACAACTACATGAATAATTAATTATAATTACAAATTAAATAATTATATTGATTACTTGATTGAATATAATAAATGGTGCATAATAAATATAAATAATGAGTGCAATTAATGTAAAACTCGAAGATATTTGAAGATTTAAATGAAGATTTATTTAGATTAAAAAACATCCATATATTTTGAGATATATATAATAACTTGTTTGATTATATCAATATAAATTTTCTTGATGATTCAGTTGATGTCAGTTAAAGACGCCTTAGAAAAGTAATTTTTAGGTCTGATTACAATTTATTTTATACATTTGGATACATTTGATGCTCTACATAAATGGACCTACTGCAAAAGGACATATCAAATGAGTAGAATATTTATGATGCCTATTTAAATTTGGTTTTCTGTCTGCTAGAGCATCAACCAACCGAGACAAAAAAGACCGAAAAAGAGAAACAGCGCCTGTTCGTCGTTTAAATTCAGCACGGATGCAAGGGATTCAATCGGAAAGCTGCCATAGCCGAGGGATGTGTGAAATCCAAAGAGGAAGCCCAGGTAGACAGAACTAGTTTCTGGACTAGGTTCCATCCGTTGTGCAGCAGGACGTGGCGCCATCGTATCGCTTGGATCCTGCATTGCACAATTCCGACCATATAAGGGTATTACTTTAGTTTTATCCAGGGGCACCCTGCAAACGGGGCAAAACCTGCGCTGGCTACAAGGCGTCAGCGTCCACAAATGCAAGCAGGCCCAACAGAACAGATGGCCACAAGTACAAATAACCGCATTCTTGGCTGTGCCCAAACATATATTACAATCATATAGGGATTTATCGGTTTGGTCCGTATTCTTTGTGGTTTCCATAAATTATACGTATAATTTAGTAGTTTTCCTTGGTAAGGTATTACAAATCCGAGAACGTGTTAAATATTTTTATTTTAAGATTTAACTCCTTTGAACTTTAGCTTTAAGTATCAGCTATTGGTTATACGAGCGCTATAAAATTTCTAGATTTCCCAGTTCTTATTTGTCTGACAATTTCCACAACGATATCTCGAAACTTAATAGCCAAAAACCAAAAATAAAATGAATATACCAATCCCCAGAACTCCTTGAAGGTTGCAAGGAATATATATAGCCGCATATATTCCCAAAAAGAGCCAGCAATATAAATAAGGCTGCTCCCTGAACTTGGGTCTCAGTTGCTGCTGTGAGGCAGCCCGGTTTAGGTGTAGATGTGTGCTGTTATGTTTGTGTGTGTGTTTATATATGTAGACTGATCATGAATGTTAGCTCGCAAGAAGAAGAGAAGAGGAGAAGCATAAAAAGGTCTCCAACTGAACTGCAATTCGTTTGATGGCATAATATTGTGTGTGTGTGTGTGTGGGTATTCGTCTAAAAATATACATATGTACATGAAGAACTGGCAAGGCTCAGCAGTATAAATAAGGCTGCCAACTGAAGATGAGTCTCAGTTGCAGCTGTGAAGCGGCCCGTTATTGGCGTGAGGAATTGCGTACGTGTATGTGTGTGTGTTTTCGCATAAAAATTCGAAAAAAATTTAAGCTTGAAGCAAGAAGAAGAGAAGTGCATAAATATAGGCTCCAATTGAAGCTGCGATTTAGTTGCTGCTCCGAGGCGGAACTGTATAGAAGGGTATAAATACACATACACAAGTGCTTGTGCGTGTATATATAAATGCGAAGGCAAGGCTCAGTAGTATAAATAGCGCTGTCCACTGAAGCTGGGTGTCAGTTGCAGCTGTGAGGCTGCCCGTCATAGATGGTGTGGTATGCTATATATGTATGTGTTTGTGTGTGCGTATAAAAATATAAATGGCGGATCATGCCTAAAAGCTCGCAAGAGATGAGCCAGCAGATAAAATAATTCTGCCAAGGTACAAACTTGTGCCACCTTTTTTACCCAGTGGAGTGGAATTGCTGCAATCGGTGAGTCACTTTTAAAATAACAATATATCAACATTGGATTATATGAAAAAACTTGGACTTTTCGAAGAAATGGGGGAGATGAGTATTAAACAATTGTTAAACATGTCTTTAATTAATGTTGACAGAGTTAATAGTCGAAAAAATGGTCTTATATAACGGTTTCCACCAATTTTCCATAGCGGAAACAGTTCCGGGAGAAGTTTTTGGAGCAAATAAATAAAATTGTCATGTGTATTTACAAATGGTTTAATCGGTGTTATCAAAAGTCGAAGGACATTCATAGTATCTAGTTCGTACTTATATCTAAATTGCGCTTTGTTTCGTTATTAGGAGTACATAAATAGTTTGCTGCATTTACACCGTGTTTTTATCTTTCAAATATTTACATAGATTCACTTTATACAAAAATACATTTTACTAAAATACGCGATTCGCATATAAAATTATAATCTCTTTGCACATTTGTCTTAAAGTACGGCCGACAGAATATCACATCGGCGCTCTGGGACCTATATTTGAAGTTTAATTGATATATTTAAAAGAAAATTGACGATTTGAAAATATATCCAAAAAATAATTATGCAATTATGCTTCATTTGTATGCCCAATATTATACAATTTTCTACCCTTTTGGCATTGCTTTAACTTAATTGGTAATAGTTTTATAATAATAATAAGGACAGTTGGACTTATTTAAACAAGAATACGAACAATCATTCATAATAAGGTTAAATACTTTTAGCTGTGTTATTTTTGCTATAAGATTATTTACAATGATCGCTCGATATAAATAATATTTACAATTTTTATTGTGTCTTTTCAAACACTTTCGAATATAGAACTTGACGAAACTGTTTCATTTTCAAATTTTTCAAACATTTGCGAGCGACCGCTATAAATTTATTTTGTATAAAAATCAAGTTAATCAAGCTTCTGGTCCCAGGTTTATAGCACTTTTTTTAGGACTAGCTTTGTGTCACGTTGTTTCCTAGGAATAATTGTACAGTGTCGACGGATGCCCCCAAGGATGGGAGGTCCTTTAAATTTTAGCTATTGTATTGCTGAATATCGTCAACGATATTCTTGTATCCGATTTGTGTGAGTCAATTAAATTGCGTGGACCGAGAGAGTTTTTTTTTGGACTTGAATTTGTTGCGAACAGCAACAGTTGTTGCTGTCGCGTGTTGCATGTTCAAATGTGGCATGGTTTTTGAATTTTGATTTAACTGACTTTACAAAAATCATTTGGCTAATTTAGCATTTGCTGTTGTTGCTGCTGGCCAGTTGCTTGCTGCTGTTGTTGTTGGCTGACGACAATGTGATGTTGTTGTTGTTGCTGCTGCTGCTGCTGCTGTTGTTGTTGTTGTTGTTGTTGTTGCTGCTGCTGTTGCTGCTGCTGTTGTTGCTGCTGCTGTAATTGAAGCTGCTGCTGATTGGCATGCTGCACGGCCGCCGTTGTGGCAGCCGTCACCACAGGCTGCAACATGCTGGTGCCGTTCTCGCGCCGCACATGGCTATTTAGCTCCGCCTTGACGCGCCTGGCTATGTGGGAGCGGGTGTGCTTGCGCAGGTGATCCTTGCGATAGAAGCCCTTGCCGCACTCCTGGCACTGATGCCGCTTCTCGCCCGAATGGATGACAAAGTGCAGGCTCAGCTGCTCCTTGCGCTTAAAGGCCTTCAGGCAGACGGTGCAGATGTACGGTCGTTCCGGATTGTGCGACTGTTTGTGCCGTGTGAGATGATCCTTGCGCTTGAGCGATGCCTGACAGATATCGCATACATAGCGCCGCTCCAGATTGTGTCCCACCAGATGCACCTCGAGCAACTCCGGCTCTGGATATGCCACATGACATTCGGGGCACATGTAGAGCGGGCTACCGTCTAGTGCAGTTCCCATGCGAATCTCACCGGGACGCAGCTTTGGCTTGCGCTCTTTCGAGCGCTTTTTGCGTTTTTTCTTCTTGGTACCGCTTACGGCTGTCGAGGTGCTCGCCACCGCGACCTGCGACTGCAACTGCAGTGTTGCCTGCTGCTGCTGTTGTTGCTGCTGCTGCTGTTGCTGATGCAGCGGCTGCTGCTCCTGCTGAGGTATGCTTATGGTTGTCGTTGTGCCAATGGTGTTGATGCCAATGGCTGCGCCTGGTCCCGTCTGCACCTGCAGCACCTGTCCGAGACACAATTATTAGTTATTTTGACAATTAAATATAAACAATTTTCGAAGCTAAACAATACCACATTCTGCTGGTTCTCCTTTTTGATGGTCTCCGCGGAGTACTTAAGAAAGTGGTGCAGCGACAGTGGCAACGTGTTGGCTGGAAGATGCGAGAGGTAGTCGGCGACGGTCGTGCCGGGCGTGATCGTTTGCCAGGAGGTATTCTGTAGCACTGCGAAAACAGAGAGGACGAGGGAGGACTCAATGGGTTAAGTATCTTGGCTATATTTTGGACTCACCTTGTTGCTGCAATATGGCATTGCATAGATCCTGTGTCAGTTCCTGCGGCGCCACCACTTGTTGCTGTTGCAGCTGCTGCTGCTGTTGTTGCTGCTGCTGTTGTTGTTGCTGCTGCTGCTGCTGACCAGAGCTGCTCGCCTGCAGGGCATCCACTGCGCTCGTCGTGGCACTGGTTGCATAGACTGTCGCATATTGTGGCTGCTGCTGTTGTTGTTGCTGCTGCTGCTGCTGCTGTGTCGCGGTGGCCACCAGATGCCCATTGTATTTATCGCCCTGTAGCGCCTCCTCCTGCCCGCTGCGAAACTTGCTGCCGGCGGCGGCGCTGCTGCTGGGCTGGCTGAAGTGCGTCATAGATACGCCCGTAGTCACCTGCTGCTGTTGTTGCTGCTGGTGTTGTTGTTGTTGTTGTTGGTAGCGATTGCCGCTGCCGCCGGGCTCCTGTTGTTGCTGTTGATTGTTGTTGGCCGCAGTCACATCGGCATCGGCAACGGCCACAGCGGCAGTTACCGTCGACACCAACGGCGACGTCGTCGTCGTAAACTGTGGAAGGCCCGGAAAGGTGTTCCCAAAGGGTGTGAAATTCATTGTGCGTTCGTTGCGTGGTTCGTTAGTGGTTTCCGGCGAACCAATATTTTAATTTTACGTTCGAATCGACTGCAATTAAATTTTTTTTTTTAGCCATCTAAAAGTTGTATTTTATGTGTCGTGGATAGCTAGACTTGAGTTAGGAAAATCGCAAAGAAAGGCGATATTTTTGAGACAATGAGCTTTAGGTAAGAGAACAATTTGGAGTAAGACTGGGAGTCGTAAATAGAAAGAGTGAAAAAGTGCTCCCTGGATTATAAAACAAAAACATCAAAGCTTTATTTTAAAACATGTAAACATGTAGTTGATAAAACTAATGTTGTTTAATAAAATAATACAAAATGCAGAGTATTTCCCATTTTTGGAAACTGCCAACATGAGGTAATATCAATCAAAACATAGAATTCAAGGTAAGGCCAATTCTGGCTTTCTGAATGAAAAGTGAAATCGCAGCCGCTGTTATTATTTTGACTGCTCAAACGCGCAAACACACCCACAATCGCCCAAACACACACATACATATACATGTACGTACATGCATATGTATGCCGTACATACATGCATATGTATGCCGGCAGCGTGAGAAGCAACAAAAAGAGCGGCAAACCTGCGCGCAATACGAGTAAAGGCACGAGCACAAACTACCGTTAGCTGCACAGTGGTAACTTGTTCATTTGTGCATTGAAACATAATTGGCAGAGTTCTAGCAATAGTTTAGTTTTAATCACTAGATGCTAAACTGGGTAAGACGGGTTATTAAATATCAGGAATGCACAAAAGTATCGAACTGCAAACAATTGTTTACCATTTTTCAGCAAAAGCCGCCAGTATTATTATTTTTATTATTATTATTTAGCTTTCACTTCCTTGCCCAAATAAAAAAAATTTAAAATTTGCGGAAAGAACAATTTTTTCGTTGTTAAATTGCAGAAAATTTCATTTTAGTGAATATTACGAAATAAACCGTTTCATAAGGACTCGCATAGTGAAAAATGAGTTTATTTGTTGCTCATAAATTTATCACTTATATTTACAACAATTCGTACCACTGTGCGGCTGTCCGATTTTAGTATGTCGGCACATTGTGTTTGGGTTAGGGTTGTCCCGATAGTGTAAATGTGTATGTATGTGTGTGTTAGTGCGCGTGATTTTATAACAATTTTCGCATAAATTTGGAAAATATTGCAAAAAAAAAAAAGAAGTGAAGAATCCGTTAATCTACGCTTTGTTAGCAGACAGTTTTACAAAATCTGCGAAAGTGTCGTGTAAAAGGCAAGTTATAGCAATATCGATTTTCACTAAGTACGCAAATTAGTGTCGCGTTTAATTGAGAGAGGAACGAAAGCACACAAGCACACGCTCACATACACGCACACCGACACACGCTTGTATTTATGTAAATTGCAGCGTACTTTTGGGCAGCTGTCGCGGACTGTAAGAATCGAGGACATCTTTATTACATATTGAAAAATATACTTTCACTAGCCCGCCGCAACGGAGTTATGTTTTATTCTTATTTATATATACATAAACATACATATGTATGTACATATATATTTTTTTTTGTTTTCGCGAACGCGTGACACAATAAAAGTCAAAGGCAGGAAGCAGCCGTAAGGCGCCCGTCTCGTCGTTCACAAAGACAAACCAATGTTGGCGCTGACGCCGCAGTCGATCGGCTGGACAGCAATGTGAAAGTGCACTTTATTTGCAATATTTTGCCTTACGTTTTTTCGTTTCGTTATTGCTACGTGTTTGCTGTTTTCACACACACGCATACCTACAAAGAGACGATTCCCGCGCGACGGCATTTATAAAGGAAAAGCAAAAAATGTTTGTATTGTTGCCCTGGCTAGGCCGGGTACAAGGAGTGTAGGTGCCCAACTACCGTTGCGTTGTTTGCGCTGACGTCGCTGCGACTGCGACTGCTGCAGTGCGAGGGCGAGTGCGCCTCCTCCACATTCAAGCCACACACCAGCGTCGAATCGGTGCGTCTATGTCTGTGTCGGCTGCCGCATTCACGACAGGGCCACCTAACGGCGTGTGGCACAAGTTTGCTACTGACCCGCCGCCAACTCGTTTGTACACTCCAACTTCTCCTGCGCGCTGCTCACGTGTATGTGTGTGTGTTGAACACGAGACAAAAGCGTGAGCTTCGTGCCGGCATTGTAATACTTGTGTGCGTGTGGCTGTGTGTGTGCTAGCAGCGAGAGCGAATAGGACAGACTGAGCAAAGGAGAGAATGAGCGCGTGTTTGATGCTCTCTTTAAGTAGTTGTCAAATAAACGGTTATTGTTTGATTGTTGCTTTGCTCGCAAAATAAACAAGACGTTTTCTATGTTAGTTAGTTTTTTTTATACACTAAATATCTTGGACAATTTTTAAATGCATGTGCACATGTTGACGCAGGTGAGTACGTGCTAATAATTCGAACTATGCACTTAACTAAATCTGTGAAAACTGCTATGAAATTGATTGGATATTTTTCAAATCCATAAAAATCCATTAAAAGACCCGGTTTATGAACCGAACCTGAAACCAAAACTTCGACACAATTCTCTCTTATTCAAATCACCTACTTATTGGTAAATTTATTCTCATCCAAATATAACGTTATTCTTTTTACGTTGTTGGGAGTACTTTAGTTCTATTATCAATTCGCTGTAGTTTTAACCAATTGAGAATTGCATGGCTAGTTCGTCAAGTTAATTAGTTCCATGAAGCTGTAGCTATTCATAGATACATATATGCATGGAAACCAATTGCATAGATCTGTTAGCTCTTAGCTGTCGTCATGTGCTGCCGGCTTTCAATTCAATTTGCCCTTTTCTGTGGCTATTTCAATCTTGTGCTCTCCTCTCCGCAAAATGGTGAATAGTTCGGGTGCGTTTAGGGGCCGCTCAGATACTCTTATTTGCAAACCTTATCCACAGACCGTTACCAAGTTGTGGGCATGCCGTGTGCTGTCAACGAGGAGGTCAGCTGCATGATCGTTAAGTGTCCGGCGGGTCGCTATTGTCCGGCGGAGAATTACTGCTACAATCCGAAGTGCGTCTGTCGTCGCGGCTATCGCAGGATCCATGGAGTATGTGTCCAGAAACATGTGACGCTCAATCGCGAAGCTGACGCCCTGAACTCAGCCCTGCTCCAAACGCGATTTCGATAAATTCATAATTTGTTCAATTTTCCTTTTTGTTAACAAATAACATTTTTAACTGATCAGAATGATATTGAGATAAGACATCCAGGTAATATATATAAATTTGAAAGATTTGGTGAAATTCTTAAATTAATTTGAAGTTTTTCCATACCCAATAAGTAAGTGTATTAAAAATGCATATTCTAATGTTTCTTCAATGCTGATATTCATATGATTCTAATCATAACTTTATATTTATATTTATTTTCTTTTTGCGCTGAAATCTGATCTCTATCAAGCGAAAGACTAAGGGAATGGTGTATAGTTACTATTTACAATGATGGGGAAGGATATGATTAAATAATACGGCTCGTAGGTAGATCTTCGCTTAAATTCTAGACAAAACAAAAAAGTAAAAAGATATATGTATATACTAGTGGGTATAACCCGGCTTTGCCCGTGGCTCGTATAAAATAAATTTCTCAAAAAGCTTTGAAAATTATTTCGAAACTTATCGGACGGTAAACAAATAACTTTCATACAATCGTCTTCCGCCAATTTCCCACTGTTGCGGGTGGAATTTCCCAAATCGCTTAAATACGTATTTATTAAGTCTTATGTAGAGCTTTGATAATAATTTTGAAGCAAATCGGACAAAACTTAAAACTTCGCCCAAAAAATCTTTAAATCGCATTCCCCCCGAAGAAGTTTGAATTCTGCGAAAAGTGTGAAACACGTCTCAAATGATCTTTCTTATAGATATCTGGAAATGAATTTGAACAAAGATCTTTCAAAATAAGTTTGAGGCCGATCGGATGGTAAACAAAAAAGCTGCACACAAACATTTTTCGCGATTTTTCCACACTTGCGGGTGGAATTTGCCGAAAACGTGCGACTTCATCACATAAAGTAACTACAGTGAAAATTTCAGCAAAACATATCCAAAGTAAGCTATTATTACGGACGTGTATATTTTATTGAGTCTAATTGACGAGTTCTCAGAAATAGGTTTGTTTTCAACTGCATCTTTATATGGTCACTTGGAAGTTTGATTGCACGGAAAAAGAATTTAAAAAATTTCGCGGGTTCCGTTCACGATTCGAAACAGCACCCTCTTTAGATTCAAAGCGTAAAACGGGGTTTCCATATATTCGAGCCCAAATTTGGACTTAAATCTCTTCTATTATATACGTTTAAGGTTCTAGTAAAACAACTAGATTCCTAACAATTGTCCGTTGTACTGAAAACATAAAACGCCTTAAGATTTTTATAAACATGATGCGGGCTAAATTTAATTTCTGTCCAAAAATGGCATCTATCAAATATGGTATAAAGCTTTGGTGCATAGTTTGGGACGAAGTCTGGCTCAAAAGTTTGCTTTTGTTCGGGTTTCGACAACTAGTTTGGCTTAACTCTTAGCTTATTGTAAAATAAAACTAAATTTAGTTTCGAGAATACTTTTTTTGTTATTATGAAAAACACTTTTAAAAGCGACGGCAAATTTGATTTGGAATTCTTTTGGTTAAGCTTCAGCAGCTTGTTTTAGTTTTGATACCCAGAAACGATTGAAAATCCCTAAAGCATAAATTGATAAAAGGTAAAATGGGCTTTAAGAACTGGGTCAAGCGACCAGTATAAGGCCATGTACCGTTAATCAACCACCAAAAAGTGCCTCCAACTGGCCGTCAGATTGTGTGTGGCAAGAGCCAGAGTCAGTTGCCACATGAGGTCACACAAGCAAATGCCGCCGGATTTGCATACGAGAGAATGCAGGCAAAGTCAAGCGCAGACAAGGATGAGGAAGCAGGAACCGCAGCAGGAGCATGAGCATGAGCAGAAGGAGTAGGTGGAAGGACCTGCCAGCCGCATCGGTGGCAACAACAAAGATGCTGCCGCTGCTGACACTGAAATAACCGCATGCAAGGCCAATCGACGAAACCAGGCCACGCACACAATTCAACCGGGGGCGACGCGACAACAAACTCCGTCCTGCCACAAAGCCGTGCGAGGCGCTGCTGCACCCGGCTCAGCTACCCCACCCATGCTGCTGCACCCGGCTCCTGCTACTGCTCCAGCGCCGTGCACCATGCAAAGCTGAGGTAAATGCACTTGGAATATGGGCTGTGGCGGGTGGCGGGTGACGGGATTGGCGGGTGACGGGGCACTGCAATCGGCATTGAGCAAGAACCAAGAGCGCACGACTTTGACTCATCCGGAGAGCGGCAGCAGCCTGCGCCTGAAGAGGAGGCAATGGGTGTGTGCAACTCTCCTGTAGACTCGGCATCTGTGTGTGCGCGCGTGTGTGTGTGTGTGGGGTGCATTGCGTCATCATCGTCGACGTCGTCGTCTGCGTCGTGAACAGCGAACAAGTCGCGCCCGCGCCGCGGGCTGGTCAACGGGCTCCGGAACTGGTTGCGAATGTGTTACAAGTGGATGACGCTTGCAGCAAGTGTTGTCAAGTGGTGGGCGTGGCATCAGGGGGGGGGGTTGAAAGGGAGTGGTTTAGGTGGTGCGCTGCAGCTGCCGTCATTTGGCAAGACGAGGCCGAGTGCAAGCCTCGCGCCCATTGCGTTGTTTATCCCGGCTCTTTGTGCTCCGGTGTATGCTGGCATGAAAGTGAAACTCCGCCAAACGGCCAGGCGCAGGCTGAAACCGAAATGCCAATGGTCGTTGCCGTTGCCGTGGCCGTGGCCGTTGCCGTGGTCGTGGTCGTGGTCGTGGCCGTGGCCATGACCCGTGTCTGCGAAATGCACTCCGGCACACTTAAACACGCACACACAGACTCGCATCGGGAGGTTTGTTAGCAACCGGAAACGCGGTCACAAGTGGCAATCGGGGCGTATGCGTAATGTGCAAACATGCACACGCATTGCAATCACAATAATAATAAGTATATGATTTATTATGAGTACTATGAGTATTCAATGTGTCTTAAATATATACATCGAATACTAATAGTACTCAAATATGCACACGCATTGCAATCACAGTAATAACATATGATTTATTATGAGTACTATGAGTATTCAATGTGTCTTAAATATATACATTGAATACTCATAGTACTCAAATATGCACACGCATTGCAAGCACAATAATAATAAGTATATGATTTATTATGAGTACTATGAGTATTCAATGTGTCTTTAAATATTATTTAATTTCATCTGTTTATATTCTTATTGAAGAAACATTTTAAAAAGCAAGCGCATATTATGAATAATTTACCGAAAGCTATTTTAATATTTTATTATATGTGTTGATTTTTGTAAGTAATTTAATATACAGAATATTTGGGCACCTACGGATTAGCCGTTTATGAATAAGATTCCAATTAAATGATGGACAATGAACGTGCTTTTGCCTGCATCTAAAAAAATGCAAAAACAAACCTAATTTTCTCAATGCAATTTATTTATCAATTCCCTTCAAATAGTATTTATAAAAGTTATGTCTACATTTGACTTAAAGTTTCCTTATTTGTTAAGTTGCTATTTGGCTTACACAAATTTGTACCTGCTCTTTTTAGGGTACTAATTTTAATTGACAAAAACTTTCAGAACATGTATTTTAATTAGTAAACATTGCAGAGGTAACGTGAACAAATGAAAATTCCTTAAAATTAAGTAAGAAATTGGTTTGTTTTGAACTTTTCCTGAAAATTACCGTTAACTCTTTTAAATGCAATCATTTTAACTGAAATTCTTAGTCAACTTTTTGAAAGTTGCAAGTAATATAATTATTACAAATAAATAAATCTTTACAGATCTATGCAAATCAATCAATTCTCAAATTTTAGAAAAAAAAAAAAACAACTTACTTCGAAACCTTTGTAGAAATCTAACATATTTTAAGAACATACTTATCGGTAAACAAAGAAATTCCGATTGTAATTTCTGTTTTCTTAGCTTTAATATTATGGTTTATAAAGGCATATTTCAGGAACAGCTTATAAAGGTAGAAAACTACTTGAAAACAGATTTTTAATTATGAGACAGTTCTTATATCTTATAATATTTCTAACTAACGAATGTTACCCTTAACTTGATTTGCTTATAAACAACTCACTTGTTTCTAACGACTCGAGGATTGGAATTAATTTAACAGGTTTCTAATTTTCATTAGTAATAATTCAGCTCAAATCGCAAACTTTGAACTGTTGACTCGGTCGCCGAAATTGAAATTCGCCGCGTGAAAGTAAAAACGCGTCGTATGGGCGGAAGCAACAGAGGCGCAACACAAATGCTCACACAAAAGTCGCGAAATGACGTAGTGTCGATGCTGACGTTATAACGTAAACTGATTTAAAGTGCGTCCGTTAATGGCGAGCAATGCAAACCGAACCGGCCGGCATATTGGGCCGATGACCGGGCGCCTAAAATTGTGTAGAGTTTGGTTACGATGACGAGGCTGGGAACGCTGTTGGTTGAGAAGAGGGAACGGGGGGAACGATATAGGCGCGGGGCGGATGCTATACGGCTGCCTAAATGTGTTTTGTCAAGAGGCAAGGCAAACTCTTTAAAATGCCCGTTGCTAGCGCACACACACACACACAGAGACACACACACACACACGCACGCCTACATACGCAGACAGACGCCGTTGACAGTCACGCACTATGCTGGCAAGTGCGACTCCTCGCTTTCGCTTTTGTGTTTGTTGTCTCGTTTGCTTAGGGCTCGGCTCATTTCGTATCGGCTTCTCTCTTCGCAACGAGCTCGCTCTTTGCATCTCTATCCCTTTCTATTTTTGACTCTCTCTCTCTCTCTCACTCTCTCGCTCTTCCTCGCCGTTACACAGACTCTCAGTTTTGCTAGTCTATTTTGTGCATCGCACCATTGCTGGCAATTTTCAACGCGCGCCGGCAATGCAACAGTTTTTTTCACAATAGATTTTTATTAGCTATTTGTTGTGTGTATCCAAATCTAGCAAACTCATTAAAGCAACTGCATGTTCGTGTGTGTGTGTGTGTGCGTGTGTGTGTGTGGGTGTGAAATTGAATGTTTTCTATATGTGTGTGCTTGTGTGCTAGGGATGAGCATTTTCAAACATGGCGCCAACATTTAGCAAATGCATAGAGTAGTACGGGCCAGGGGAGCTGCACGGCTTTTATGGTGCAAATGTATGTACTTTTATAGTATATAGTATATAAACATGAGCATATACATACATAAGTTCTTACGTTTCCATACACCTAACCAAGCCGCACGTTTGCATGCGATTTAATTCAAAAATTGATTTATTTTTAGTTTACGCCCCGAATTGCGCATTTTAAATCGTACAGGAAATATATATATAATTCGAATTTGTCTTCAAAATTTGTATACAAAATAGCTTTTCAATTAAGTGCTGCTTATTTTTTAAACCAGAGATTTCTGATGTGTTTGACTATTGATTTTAGTGAAACATTTGCTTTTTTTCCTTTTATATCTACTGACTGCAATCTAAGCTTTTCTTTTTTAATTTATTCCTCTAATAAACTCGGATCTATATTTTTCCAGTTGTCTCTTAAACCCAAATGTATTTGCTTTCTCTTTTCACATTTATTTAAACCAAATCTTTAACTTTTGATTTTCTTTTCTTTTAGCATAATCTTATTTACCAAAGTTATTCTGGAAGTCATTATCATTTCCCAGTCAATTGAGTAGCGTGCTGGGTCACACTTACCACAAAGTTTAGGGATCGAAAGAAGACTACGAAGTAATCGTAATCCTCTGACTAGCTAACATTTCCATTCAAAACTAACTAACTAATATGTATGCGTGAAAAACAATGCTCAATTCTTTAGCAACATGTGTCTTCTTAAAGAGTATTGTATGCATGCCCTCTGTTGAATATTTGTGCCAAGTGCAATGGTGAATGCAAAAATGGACCAACAAACGGGGCAACAAAACTGCAGCTGACGTTGGCACAAAATCTAAACAAGCCCAAGCACGAGAACACCGCCCCAACCCCCGCCCCCCGGCACTGGCCAAGGTCGAAACGAACGAGTCGCAAAAAAACGCCCACAAACGGCCCCCAATTCGCCGCCTGCAAAAATGGGCACCGAAAACTAACCGAAAAACTAAAAGTGACTCTCAGCAGGGCCAGAGGGGCAGAGGGGTTGGGGGGTGCAGGCAGGCAAAGGATGCAGTCAGTCAGACTGCGCCGAAAATTCATTCATAAAATTCTAAAACGCGCTAAAATCTAAAATTCTAAACAAACGGCCCACATGATGGGGGCTACGACACACGGCGCACCGATAGATATGCAATGTGTGTGCCCAACTATTATGTCTGTGCGAGTGTGTGTGCGTGCGTGTGTGTGTGTGTGTGTGTGTGCCTCTGCCTGTATTGCTGTGTGTGTTTGTGCGCGTAAAAAATCACCCAGTTTTGGGCGCAGTTGCAACTAGAATCAAGTCGCTAGAAATAAAGAAAGCCAGCCAAAAACTGTGCTACTTGTTACTTCTGACGCGCTATGCAATACTGCAACTACTGCAACTTACGGTAAATGCATTTTGATGTTTTGGACACAACTGTACAGCAGAGCAATGTTATGATTATTTTTAGCTGGCAAATCCAACTAAGAAGCGGCAGAAAAAAATGTCTCTATGTGTAGAGCAAAGTGAATATATAAATATATATATATATATATCTATATATTAAAAGGATGTGCACATAAAAAATAATTCTATATTTTATATATACATAGCATATATATATATAATTGTGTGTGAAAGTTTGTGTGTGGCACCCTAAGGCCTAGGCCAAAGCTCTCTTTTTGTGTGAGAGAGCGCAAAATGCAGCTATGCGTTTTTCTGCATGCACTTGATGCATGTGTGCGTGCGTGTGTGTGCGTGTGTGTGCGTGTGTGTGCAACACCTAACTACAGCAGCAGCAGCAGGAAATTGCAACAAACAAACTCTACACGGCGCAGCCAGCAGGCCGGCCAAAACAAAATGCAATCAAATGGCAAAAATTTTGCTAGACTGCAATGCAACTAAAAACAAAACGCTGCATGCAACCCTTGCATAAAGGTGGCGTGGGTAGGGAGGGGTGGGGGGGGGGGGGGGTTATTGTGTGGCAAGTTGGGTGGCGAAAAGGTGGCCGATTGCACAAGCCAGACAGTTGCTGTGTTGCATAAAACAGCAAAAACATGAAAGCATTTTAGTTGCATTTTCTATATAACAAATTTCAGCACATGCCGTGTGTGTGTGTGTGCGCCCGTGTGTGTGTGTGTGTGTGTGTGTGTGTATGAATAATCCATGTAGTATATAGAAATTGCATCCCTTAGCTGCAACCGAATAAAATGTGCATAAAATAAATTTCATTTCATTTAAAATAAATAAAACCTCTCGAAACCGAAACACCCCCCCCCCCCCCCCTTCTACTTCCACCCCCGATGCACAAGCTTCTAGACAAAGTGCAGTTGCCCTGGAAAATATCTGCAGAGCTTATGGACTGCAATGTGCAGGTGCAACCGCCCCGCCCCCCGCCAGCTAGCAGCAGCTCCAATTTCCATTAGAAGCGACTCCTCAAATTCTCAAAACGTATGCATTTTAATTGATTGCCCAGCTGCTTTGTTTCTTGTGTCTGCCTAAATTGCAGGTAATTTATTTATCTCAGAAATATCTTCAATTTCCAAGCTTTAAGATGCCCACTCAAAGTGTCTCAAGTTGCCTTCAAGCCCAGACTTAACAAAACTTCTCTATATATATAAAACTTATATATATATATATATATATATCTGTATATATAATCATACTAGCGGCTACAAATTTTAGATGTTATTATTTCACTAAGTACACGCCCGTGGAACATTGAAATCTACCCAACTTGATCTGCACTTCTATTCAAAAATATGTTTTAAGTGTTTGAATCAACGCTTTCCACCCATTTTGGTCTTGCGGCAAGAATCTTGAAGGTGAAGAATAAACTTTCGTTTATTAAAAGATCTTTAAAAATGTGCTTGAGGCAGATCGAATGGTAAACAAAAAAGTTGCATACGTATGTTATGAATTTATTTTCTAATACAAATACATTTGCTTAGCAATCTAATCTTCTGCTTCTTTCATATTCGCTCCAATGTTATTTATTTCCGATTTAGCTAATTCATATTATCTTTATAACCTGAAAATGAAAATTATGTAAGAGCCAGCATCTGCGATATATATTCTTGATCAGAGCGACGAGCTGATTCGAGCCATGTCCGTGGAACTACCCTAACTACTAACTAGAGCACATAAGGAAAAAATATGGTTTAGTTTTGGAATTTCGGCTCGGTTCGAAACTAATTTTTAGTCTCGTAAAATGAGCTGATAACGAGAAGCAGCCAACGCAAATGAACTTTCCTATTTGCAATCTATCAACATTCCAATGAAGGTCACTTAACGCCTGACCCATGCCTTTTCTTTATTTATATTGAGTTCCTGACCTACTGATAATCGCTTCAAATCGCCGAAATATTATTACACACGTTCTTCCAATTGATTGCCGTATTACAGTCTATTTACGTGCGTGCTGTCGCTGAGTACGGTTGAGATTCGCATTTCAATTCCAAAATCAAAGTGCTATCAAAATGAAATGTATTGTGTTTATATATATTACTAGCGGGTATAACCCGGCCTTGCCCGTGGCAAGTATGTTATAAAATCAATGTTCTCAAACAAATTTGAAATGATTTTGAAACTGATCGGACGGTAAACAAATAACTTTCATACAAACGTTTTCCGCCAATATACCACTGTTGCGAGTGGAATTTCCCAAATCGCTGAAATACGTATTTATTAAGTTCTTATGTAGAGCTTTGAAAATAAGTTTGAAGCAAATCGGACACAACTTAAAACTTCGCCCAAAAAATCTTAAAATCGCATTCCCCCCGAAGAAGTTTGAATTCTGCGAAAAGTGGGAAACACGTCTCAAATAATTTTTCATATAGATCACTGGAAATGAATTTGAGCGCGAAACGTCACCCACCAAATCTTTGACCTCCATTTCTACCAAGGAGGAATGGATTTTCCAAAAAGTGTGAAACACCCCTCAAATGAATTTGAACAAAGATCTTTGAAAATAAGTTTGAGCCCGATCGGATGGTAAACCAAAAAGTTACATACAAACGTTTTTCGCGATTTTTCCACACTTGCGGGTGGAATTTCCCGAAACCCCGTCTTAACGTGCACCTACATCACATAAGGTAACTACAGTGAAACTTTCAGCTTCCTAGCTTTTACGGTTTGGGCTGTGCGTTGATCACCAATCAGTCAGTCAGTCAGTCAGTCAGGACAAACAGTTTTATATATAGAGATATTTGCAAGCATAATACTGATCATAGATGAAGCAGAGGCTAACGAAAATGAGGTAAAAACAGATTATTTATTAATGCAATGCAGAAAATAAATCATATTCTTTGTTACAAGTCTTGTGTGGCAACCAGAATAGCAGAGGAGCAGTGCGGAAAGTACATCTATAAGGCTGTGAGACCTTTGTTAAAATATATTCATCAGATGAAGGAGGAAATTGAAAACAATAACAATAAGGTTGAAGGCAAAGACAGGGAAATCAAACAACTGCAGGAAAAACTTAGCCAACGTAATGAATTGGTCATCGAGGAACTGAGAGCTCAGAATGAATTCTACAAACAGAGTATCACAGAGCTAACGAACAACGTTTTATCAATAAAAGAGCAAATGAGTAAACCCAATTCCAATGCCTTGAAAATCCAGGACTATGAAGAGCAGCTGGAGAAACAAAAGAAGTCAATTGATCAACAGGCCCAACAAATATCCCAACTCAAAAACGAAATCAACATTTGTGCCAAGAAACTAAAAACCGACGAAGAGAAGCCCGTTCTCAGTGACTGCACCGACTTTGCTAATGCTCCGGGTATTCATAAGATTAACCCGGATCCGTTCGATGTTCTTTGTGATAGTGCGACAGCAGGTCCTGGCTGGACGGTTATCCAGCAGCGAATCAACGGTAAGGAGGATTTCTACAGGAATTGGACCTCTTACCGTGAAGGTTTTGGTTCCTTTGATGGCGACTTCTTCCTCGGTCTCGAGAGGATTCATCGCTTGACACGCGCCCAACCTCATGAGCTCTACATACATATGGAAAGATTTGATGGTGACATCAAATACAGAAGATACGATCAATTTGCCATTTCTGGCGAGGAGGACCAATACACCTTGATCACCTTGGCGAAATCTGAGGGCAGTGCAACAAATGATTACTTGCTATACCACAAAGATAAGAAATTCAGCACATTCGATCGTGACAATGACAATTTGAATTCTGGCAACTGCGCAAGCCGAGACAATTGTGGTGGTGGCTGGTGGTACGGTGATTGTGCATACAGGTATTGATCGCCACAGCTTTGTCAAAGCAATTTATATGCAATTAATTTTATGTGTCCAAAAATGATGCCATATATTGGGATGGTCACGACTCCTTGAAGACAGTCAAAATGCTCATACGCCCCAAAAGCAATGGAAAATAAAATCAAAAAACAAATATGTATAGCATTTATTGTAAAAAAGTAAGAATTGTTTCACAATGTAATTATTAATAAATTCAGATGCTGTAATCCCTTCGAAAACCCACAACAAAATATTAAAATCGACGTATATCAAATGAAATATTTTCGAATTCGATATTAAAACAGATTTTTTTATTTACTCTTACATAAAGTTGGATACAAAAAAGTCTATGGAGTCCTTGAAGTCGCCGCTCAGGGAGTTTTTCAGGATTTAGAGATTCAAGCTGATCAGTTGGACAGGTGGAAAGATAGATAAGACAAATGTTAAAAGTTACATTAACAATTGGGGTCCATCTCCTATTCGGACACTCTCACTTAGCCATAAAATATACTTTATAATTATACAAATAGGTATATATATATATATGTATAAACTAGCGGGTATAACCCGGCCTTGCCCGTGGCACGTGTAAAGTATATGTTCTCAAAGAGCTTTAAAAAAATGATTGAAGCAAATCTTTAAATTGCACTTTCCACCGAAGAAGTTACGATATTGTGCAAAATGTGAAACACGTCTCAAATGATTTTTATGTAGATCCTTGGAAGTGAATTTGAGGGCGAAACGTCCACCACCAAATCTTTGACCCCTATTTCCACCAAGGAGGAATGGATTTTCCTAAAAGTGTGAAACACACCTCAAATGAATTTGACCAAAGATCTTTGAAGTTGATTTTAAGACCAATCGGATGGTAAACAGAGATTTGACAGTTATTGTTCAACTAGGTATGAATTGTCGGAAAAAAAGTGAATCAAATTTAATTGGTTTTGCCTTTAGCAATTCAAATGGCATATACTATGATTATGAGGTGTGTAAATCAAATTCTATGTTTTGGAATTTCTGCGATACTTTGAAAAAGCAAAAAAATATATGATGTTTTAACAAACCACAATTTGCACTTTTATATAAATTTCAATAAAATAAATCAATAGAATCAGGCACGCCTCTCTCAACTATTAATGATGTATCTAATATTGTTAAAAATTGGTTTTTTTTTAAATTTTACTCAATTGTTATTGTACTAGCGGATATTGCCCGGCCTTGCCCGTGGAAGGTTCTGTGCTAAAAAATGTATGATATTATTATTATTATTATGATATTATCCCGACTAGAGCACTTCACCAAAGATGGGTGGAAAGATTATAATGCGTTTGTGCAGGCGGACGGATAAACCTGCGACCCAACAATGTATCTACATATATTCTTGATCAGCATCAATAGCCGAGTCCATCTACCCATGTCCGCCTGTCCGGGTGAATGAACGTAAGAATCTTAGAGCTCATTAAGAGCTAGAGACTTGGAACGTTGGTCCTCCTATTGCCCGCGCAGCTTGTTTCCGATAATCGATAACTTGACCAGTTTCCAGGCAATCAATACAAACCGTTATCGAAATCCTCTAGAATCAAAAATCTTTCATTTTGAGACAATACGCGTGTTCTATAGCACAATAAGATCTATTATTGAATATTTCGTCAAGATCGGTTAAGAAACAGAAAACTTATTAAAGAAAAAGTTTTCCTTTTTCTTGCGTAAATTGTACGAATTTCTGCCTACATTTATTTATTGAATTGAATTCCTTAAACAGCATTACAATTGTAAATTTATTGGTAGCAGTGGGTTCAGGGTATACCCTAGTCGAGTACTCCCGACTTGTTTCTGATACAATCTAACGTCAAGTGCAATCAATCTTTAATTCTGGCCTAATACTACTAATGTCCATAAGTATTTCTGCTTGACAGATGGATAAAGCAAAATGTTGCCTTATAACCTAAACATATTTATTAACTAATAAGAGGCAAGAAAATGTATTATTTAATAAATCATTTTCAATGCATATTATTTCAAAATAATATACATATATTTTATCAAAATAAATCTAAACGAGCCTATGCTGATTATTCAAAAAGAAAATGAATTTGAGCCAAGTTTGCCCCCATTTATGAAACGAGTCGAAAGCAGACAAGTTAATGCAACAGTTAATGCAATGCTGAATGCATTTGCTGTTGCCTTGTGGCAGCAACAGAACGTGTTGCAACACAATAAGCACACGCAGCAGGCCACGTGGCATAATCAGACTCGGAAGACAGTTAAGCAGCAGCAAGTGGATACAAATGTGGCGAGGGGAGGGGGGTGGGGTTACGGACACGTAACCATTAACCAAAAACGGTGGCTAAAGAGGCGAACGTCCTCGACCTAGTTCAATGTCAATGTCATTGTGCCACATTATCGCCGTTGCCAGCGTCGTTGGTGACGGCGACGGCGACGGCGACGGCGACGTCGTCCTTTGGCAGGCTTGGCCTTGGCTGGAGTGAAACGAGCGCACGAGTCGAGGCCACGGCCACGGCCACGAACATTGCCCAAAGTGGCACACGGCAGGACCAACACCCACACCCAGACCCAGACCCAGACCCCTGTCGGAACCAGTGGCCCACGCTCCTTGCACTCCGCACAAAATGAGGCTCAGGCAATGGCCACGATGCTGCAACATTGCGTTGCATGCCGGTGCAGACGGTTGGCGGTTGGCGGCTGGTGGCGACAATATCCTTGCACTTGTGCGGCTCTGCGCCTGCCGCGAGGCTGGGGCACACACACAGAACCTGCAACCAATCCGCCAACAGCAGCAGCAGTAGCAGCAACAAACTCAACTCGTTGCCTCCTTTTGGGCCGTGTTGCTGTTGTTGCAAGGATCCCTCCACACAATCACACACACACACCAACACACACACACACACACTCACAAACCCCAATTGGCAGTCGCGTTGCACTCGGAGCTGCAGCTGCGGCATCCAGACACCCACGGCAGCATCGCAATCGTCATCGCCAGACCTGAAAAGTGGGACCACAGTCAACGCCTAAATGCCCCCATGGCCTCCGCCCTACAAATTCCAGTTGCAGCCCCAACTTTGGTTCTATTGTGCTATCTCTCTCTCTACTAGCTGTCTCACTCTCGCCCCCAAGAGGCTGAACCATCATCACCAGACAAAGTCTCCATTACGCCATAGACAAAGAGTTTGAGTTCGAAGGTTCGCTACCGTTTCGTATCGAACATGTTCTCTCCATAAAAGCCTCTCTCTTTCTTTCTTAGTGGTATGGTGTGACTGTGTGTATAGCGCACTTTTGCCATTTGAAATCATAGCACGTCGACTAGGGCATATATATGCAGTAGGGTGACTCACTGTTTAGTATGCACAAGAAAATACAGCAAGCGGCGTTAGGCTTGGTAAATTTAATATTATGCATGAGATTTATAATAAAATCAACATTAACAAATTAGCAAATTAATTATTATTTATTAAAGATTATCCTTACAATGTCATCTTCAGTATAAAATATTAAAATTTAATAAGCAACTCCTATGAAGTAGACATTCAAAAGAAACTAGCTTCTCTGAGTAAGATTTGGGCTTAAATCCATCCAATTTATTGCACACACAGGAGAAACTATATACCACTTAACATGTGCTACATTTAGCAAATATTTATCTAACAATTTGTCGCGTGCTACCTTGAAACCCGCTCTGCCAAAAAGGTGTTTCACATTAACTGTTGTTTACGTTTTCTGTTTTATTGACCATTGCAGTGAGCGTTAAACAGGCTAAAGGAGGGAGCGAGAGGCTGTGAATAAGAAATGGGTTAAGAATCAAGGTGGGCAGCAGACGCAGTCAAAACACACACACACACACACACACACACTCGGGCACAGCAAACGGGTCGCATTCCAGCGCTGGCTGCGCACTCAGCACGGGCAGAGACAGCAGCAACCACTGCGGCTGCGCAGACACCTTGGCCGCTGTGTCAGTGCGCGTTGAGATCTTCAACGGGCGAGTCGGCGAATTGCGGAGAGTGGCCGAACATTGAGGCAAAGTAAAAACTAGAATAAAAACAACTTAAAATATGCGCGTGCCCCGCCGACACGCTCACACAGCAGAAATATATTTTTAGTGATCTTCTCTCGCTGCGTGCGTGCGTGTGTGTGTGTGTGTTGAACTTTCTTCAGCCGCTGGGCGCTTGAGCATGTTATTTGTGAACGGCAAACCAAAGTCAACAAAGCAAACAACAACAAGTGGCCGCGCAGCGGCGCAGGAAAGTGCAAAAGCGTCGCAAACAGCAAGTTTCTTGGCAGACGTGGCAAACATAAAATTTAAAAGTGTACGCGGAAATCAATTAATGCCTTTATATATGTATGTATATTAACACGTATGTGTGTGCAACAACATATGAAAAGTGAAAGTACGAGCAACTTAGCAAATAACTAATAACAAAAGCAACCACAATATTCTCACGCTGCGAAACCATGTCCAGCCACAGCGTACAGCGACGCAAGACAACGCGCTCTAAGTCGAAACAGCAGCAACAACAAAAACAACAACAACAGCAAAATGTTGCGGAAACCCTCATCGAAAATCAAAACGCAAGCAACGAACAAAACGAAAGACTTCACTTTCGCAGCCGTTCAGCAACCTCGGTCGGTGCAGTAGCAGCAGCGGCAGCGCCAGTCACTTGCAATTCACCTTCACCACAATGCTGTAATGGCATGCTGCCCACCACAGCCACCACCATGCTCAACTGTTGCCGCGATATTAACTGCCACCTGAATACCCCGCTGGCGCTACCATTGCGCGGCAGCGTTGAGCGCAGTCGACGCTCAGAGAGTCGGCAATCTTTTCTAGCATCAGAAACGCTTAAGCCGACGACGACGACAGCATCGCCTACGCCTACCTCTGCATCTAAGCAGCCGCATTCCCGTTCCCGTTCGCGTTCGTGTTCTTGTGATGTCGGCAACGCGTGCAATATTGAGGATCCTCTCAGGCAGAGCCCAGACAGCGCTGCAGCGGCAGCGAAATTAACCGTTAGCCTGCACATTGATCTCATCAGCTGGGGTCTCTTTCTGCTGGCGTTCTTAACGCGCTTCTATAAGCTGGCAACGCCGCCGCATGTTGTGTAAGTAATGGAAGAGAGATACATTTAAATGTTTTTTCTCTGTTTCTAATCTTTGCGTTTTCCATTTGTTACACAGCTTCGATGAGCTGCATTATGGCAAATATATATCGCACTATATGCGCAACATCTTTTTCTTCGATCAGCACCCACCACTGGGCAAGCAGCTGATAGCTGGCCTTGTCAGCTTTGTCGGCTACGATGGCAACTACACATTTCCACGCATTGGCGCCACCTATGCGTCAAATGTGCCCGTCTTCTGGCTGCGATTTGTGCCCGCACTTTGTGGAAGTCTGCTCGCACCAGCCGTCTACAAGCTGCTGTTGGAAGCGCAGCTGCGTCGCTGGGCAGCAGCGCTTGGCGGCCTGCTTGTCGTCCTGGACAATGCTCTGCTAACGCAGTCGCGTTTCATTCTCATGGAATCGATGCTGCTGCTGGCCAGCACCGTGGGCATTGCCTGTCTGCTGCGCTTCCAGCGCTGCTCGCTGGGCAGCCTCAACTGGCTAAGCAGCGGAGCAGCGGCTGCGCTGTTTCTTGCCTGCGCCGGCTGTGTCAAATATGTTGGCTTCCTGGCGCTGGCCCTTGCCGGCTATTTGCTGTGTCGACATCTCTGGAAGCTGCTCTACGATGCGACTTTGACAAGTGAGTAAAGAGAAATATGTGCTTAAGAGAGGGAAACAGATATGAGAAGATAGAGAGAGAGTATGTAACTGAGTTAGAGAGAGTTTAAGAGTATGTAATTATTTTAACATACTTATTAAAAAGAAATCGATAGACTTAATGAGACAAACCATTTCAACGATGCAAAATAGGCAAAAGTGAGAGAGACTATAGGCTATAAACACTTAGAAGCCATAAAGAAATGAATAGAGGGAGAGACACAGAGAAAAGAGAGAGACAGAGAGAAGAGTCAGGCAAAAGTACTTGTAACAGAGATATAACAGAAATAAGTAACTCAATAACGGACATCAGTAACAGATGTAAATAACACAAATCAATAACAGAGATGAGTAACAGAGATCAATAACAGAGATCAGTAACAGAGATCAGTAACAGAGATCAATAACAGAGATGAATAACAGAGATCAGTAACAGAGATCAGTAACAGAGATCAGTCACAGAGATCAGTAACAGAGATCTGTAACATAGATCAATAACAGAGATCAGTAACAGAGATCAGTAAAAGATATCTTAAGTATTGTATTGTATTAAATTTGTATTGAAAAACACCTCCTTCCCTTTTATATAGATGGCCAACTTTGGCTGCACGCACTGGGCAGACTGCTGCTGTTTGTGGGCATACCGCTGGCCGTTTACCTGGGCGTCTTTTACATCCACTTAAGGACGCTACATCGGGCCGGGCCACATGACACCATCATGACCAGTGCGTTTCAGGCCTCGCTAGACGGCGGCCTGGCGTCGATCACACGCGGCCAGCCGTTGGCTGTGGTGCACGGCTCGCAGATAACGCTGCGGCACACGCACGGGCGCACCTGCTGGCTGCACTCGCATGCCGCCGTGTATCCGGTGAGGTACAAGGATCAGCGTGGCTCGTCGCACCAGCAGCAGGTGACATGCTACTCCTTCAAGGATGTGAACAACTGGTGGATTGTGAAGCGTCCGGAACGCGATGATCTGGTGGTGGGCGACCAGCCCGATATCATACGACATGGCGATGTCATTCAGCTGGTGCACGGCATTACCAGTCGTGCGCTGAACTCGCACGACGTGGCGGCGCCCATGACGCCGCAATGCCAGGAGGTCAGCTGCTACATTGACTACGAGATCAAAATGGAGGGCGAGCTGCTGTGGCGCGTCGAGATACTCAACCGGCAGACCGAGGGCGATCGCTGGCATGCCATCAAGTCGGAGATACGCCTCATACACGAGACGACGGGCGCCGCGCTGCGCTTCAGTGGCCGCCAGCTGCCCAGCTGGGGCTTCAATCAGCACGAGGTGGTCGGTGATCGCGATCCAATGCATCAGGATGCCATCTGGAACGTGGAGGAGCATCGCTACACCAAGAGTAAGTGGCACAGCTGGAAAGGCAGAAACTAGAAATGTATCCCGCTAATCAAACATTTCCAACAATAGCTCAGGATCAGCGTGAACGCGAGCGCCAACTGCTCTCCGCCGAGATGATACCCACCAAACGGACCAAGCTCTCGTTCTGGGCTAAGCTGCTGGAGCTGCAGACGAAGATGTTCTGGCATGCCAAGCAGGTGCAGAGCCACATGTACAGCTCCCAGCCGCACGAGTGGCCGCTGCTGGACAAAGGCATTGCCTACTGGCTGGACGACAGCTCGAGCGCCCAAATCTATCTGCTGGGCAATCTGCTCATCTGGTATATGGCCAGCGCGGGGCTGCTGCTCTATGCCGCATTGCTTGTCTTCTATGCGCTGCGTCGGCGTCGCTTGTGCTTTGATGTCTCCGCCAGCGAGTGGAGGCGCTTCCTCGGCGCCGGCGACACCTTCTTTGTCGGCTATCTGATGCACTATTTGCCGTACTTCTTTGTCGATCGGACGCTCTTTCTGCACAACTATCTGCCGGCTTTTCTCTTTAAGCTGCTGCTGCTCTGCTATGTGCTCGACCATGTCGACCATCTGCTGCGGAGCCACTGCACCGGCCGGGCTGTGCATCTGGTGCGCGTCTATCGTCTGGCGCTGCTGCTCTGGCTGATCGCCGTCATTGCTGTCTTCATCAAGTTCTTGCCATTGAGCTACGGCTCCCGAAAGATGTCCGCCAACGAAATCATCGAGTTGCGCTGGAAAGACACCTGGGACTTTATACTGCAAAAGAACTATGCATTGCAATGAGCCAGCGCAAGTCCGCCATCCAACAGCCTGCACCCTGCACCCTGCACCATGTACAATAAACCGTAATGATCCAGTTGGGGAGCTACTCAAGCAGTTTGGCTGGTGCCAAACCACGCATAAGTTATTTAAATTATGTTCTTAACTATCTGAATAGATAATAAAACTATTTATTTATTTATCTACATAGATTGATAGATTTCGGATTGTAATAAGCGATAGATCGGCAACTAATCGAAAGCCTGAACCTGGTCTCTGGTTAACTGATTGGAGATTGACGCCCAGCCTAAATCCCATTGAGTATAACTTGGAAGTGCAAAAATGATGCAAAAGCTTTCTTAGGAGTCGAAACATATTGATAATTGTGAGCCTTGGATATCAAAACGTCGGACTAACAAGCGGGAAATCGCCGATTTAAAGCCAGCAAGAATTCTCCAATTTTATATTTGCTTATCACTTTGTTATGGTTGACTTAATCTGACTGGAGTTGGCGTTAATTACATGTCGGACCCGAGCAAAGCCGGTTAATTTCTTCTAACAGTTTATTCATGCAATTAGTCATATGTTATATACATATATAGTAAAGGGTATTCCGCCGTCGTTGAATGTTGTTAATAATATTTTAAGCATAGCATTTGCAGTCATATTTCGACTTGAAACTAAAACCTGGTGAAACTGACTCAGAATAAATACAATGATATATTATATTTTCCCACAATCAGCAGCAAGAAATACAAGTTGAGAAAATGAACATAGGTCGCTTCAGAGATCGCAATTCGGATATCCGTGCGGCAGGTGTGAGATCAGCTGTGGACGACGAAAACAACGCCAGCAAGTGCCTGACCATATCGCACATTGAGGAGGTCGCCGACCACTTGATACGGACCGATTGCAGGCGGAAGCAATTGAGGAATGCGGGACTCCTGTGGCGGGAGTCGCCCTGCCTGCCGACGGTCACTGTGCCGGAGCTGATGGCCATCGAGAAATCGAAATCGCGTTTTACCGTCTTCAAGGAGAAGTTCTCGGAGGAGATGTACTTGAAGCAGGCCAAATTGGGTGAGGTGAAGCCAACGGGCTCCAAGCCGGACAGTGTCACCAATTTTAACTGCACATTCGGACGCGAGACAAGGTCAAAGGAGAGGCTCTACGATGTGGTGCTGCCGCCGAAGCCGGCCGAGCAGGTGAATCGCGAATTTGCCAAATTCCACGACAAATACGTGATCAGCCATAATCATTATTTTCCCTCGGAGCAAGTCAATCGCAGGTGCAGCATGCCCTGAGCTCTTCAATTTGGTCCACTCTAATCTCGTCCTTTCCAATGGCAGCTACAAGCAACCGTTCTGCAAGGAGGCCACCTACGGAGCGGGCACCAGAGGCGATGTTAGCGGTCAGCTGGTGAAGCGTTGCATGCAGCAATGCGCCGGCCACGTGATCATCATCAGCAAGGAGCAGATGGACTTTATTGACCGCACCTTTCCGCGACTTGGTAAAAAGTACAAAAAGTGAGTGCACATCCACACGTCCCCGATCCCAGCTCAGTTCCCTCAGTTCACGCATCATTTCCATGCCCCCCGCCCAGGTATCCATATTTGGTGCCAGCCAACATGATCTATGGCACGCCCACTTATGTGCCCGACTGCGACTGCAAGATGCTTATCGAGGATATTTCGCCGTGTCAGAGCAATAAGCATCTGATCGAAGCGTTGGGCCATCTCAATATGTGGCGTCACAAGCTGCAGAAAAGCGCCGATTTCCATATGTTTGATCTGATCTCGGTGCTGGAGCACAGCGATAAGGAGCAGACACGTTTCTTGCCGCTGAAGAAGATCTTTGAGGTGATGCACAAGATGCATCTGTACATTGACATATACAAAATGCGCACCACTCTCGCCCATTTCAAGATGATCCTCGACGAGAACTGTCCCACGGAGCGTGTCAACTATGATGACTTCTGCCGATTGCTATCCATTCAGAATCCATTGCCCACCACGGGCAACATATCGACAACGCCGGCAAATGTCTATAACAAGGATACCACCTATCGTCTGTTCTGCTCCGATCTTGGCAAGCAGCCGGTTGAGGCGCCAGCTATGCGCAAGCCGAGACCCAAGCAGCTGGACGAGGATTCGACGCATGTTAAGGACCTGCTCACGCCGGATATATCGTTGCTATATGGACTGTCGCCCAGCGATTTTCAATTGCTGCGTCCCAAGGAGCAATTGGAGCTCATTTTCAAGGACATTGTCAGCACAACGGACTTCGAAACGATTTGGAAGCAACTCATGCACACAAATCATGAACAGAACGGTCTGGTCTCTGTGGTGCAGTTCCGTGAGGTTATGGACAACATGGAACCAGCCAGCCAGACAGCCAATTGAATTATAATTCAAAACATTCAAATTTCAAGTAAATCCCGAATCTTCCAGTTGTTGAAGCCGTTAACACGAATTCAAATAAAATTAGTAAATGCGCCAACTGCATTGATTGGTTGATTTATCGACTGCTTGCAACGATATTTATATTGGCAATATGTTTTGAATGCAACTATCGATATATTTTAAGCACGACACCTCATTGTCAACATATCGACGCTCTATAGCGGCGATAACAATTTCATAAACTATCGGGTTTGAAATGTGTTGCACTGCATTGTTAATATATCGACTGCTTTCAACGATATTTATATTAGCTAGCAACATATCGACGTTCTATAGAGGCCATAGCAATATCGCAATCGATGTTACACTGCTTTCTCGATAACTGCTTGCAACGATATTTATATTAGCTAGCAAAAATATTTTCAATGCAACTATCGATATATTTTAAGCACGACAAATTATTGTCAACATATCGACGTTCTATAGCGGCGATAACAATATCACAATCGATACGATTACAGGATTTGAAATTCTTTGGTTTCTAGTAAAACACGCCGGAGATTTGGCGTATCCAGTCCAAGTGGTGGGTGACGCGTGTGAAACCAGCCGGAGCCACCGAGAGACAGCTGTCCGCATCGCTGAAGGAGGTAATGCCCACCAGTTTGGGATCGTCGTGCGTTACCAACGGACCGCCGGAGTCGCCATCACAAATGGATCTGCCCTCGGGCGTGGCCACGCACAATACGCTCGCGGGCAGCGCGCCATAGCTGCGGGCGCACTCAGCATTGCTGATGATGCGCAAGTCGATGCACTGCAGCCAGTCGGGCAGGGCACTGCCATCGTAGGTGCTGCCCCAGCCACAGGTGACAACTTGATGGTTCTCAAAGCTGACGCTGCGCTGGGCAAAGCCAGGCAGCTGCACCTTATTGACCAGCGACCAGAAGCCGACATATGGTGTGTGGATCAGGGCAATGTCGTTGCCAATGCTGTCCGGCCAATTGGGATGCTGGACAATATCCTCGATGCCCACAACCAAATGGAACAGCGCCTGTGTGCGCCGAGTTGCTCCATAATAGATGCTCACCGAGTCAATGTGATCTGTGCAATGCGCCGCCGTCAGCACCCACTTGTGGTCTATGATCGAGCCGCCACACCATCTGCCTGCGTGGCCCTCCCTCAGCAACAGGCCCACAATGTACGGCGCCTGGCCCACCGCAGCCGGATAGCCATTGGTTATGATATGATCCGGGCTAGCTCCCACTTCGAGCAATATGAGCACGGTCCAGAGGAGAAACGTTAACCTTAACCTGAGCTGCATTTTCTTCTCGAATAATTTAGCTCGACAAGAAACCCGCTAATATATATACCTATATTCGTGTTAAATAACCCGACCAAGCGATGAAGCTATATTTTATGCAAATATATTTATCTAAACTCTTAATGGCTTACGACATTAACTACTTTCCTGTAATGTCATGGAGGGGTTGCTCATATCGATGGATTGTACACATCTTAAAGAGAAGAGTTCCGACGATTCAATACCCTTGCAGATTTACGATCATCGAAGAACACATTATTCATGCGATTGTTCCTATGTATAATTTAGAATTATGGGGAACTTAATATATGGAGTTTTGGTAATTCTTTGCAGCGAGTGCACAAATGGGAACATTAGTTATTTACGTCTTACAGCTATATACATATTTATTTACAGAGCTCTGAATATAATTATTTCGCGCTATCCAGAAAGTCTTTGGCCTCGTTGATCTTAGCCGCCAGATATGGTGATCCACCGCGATCGGGATGATTGAGCAGCATTATCTTCTTGTGCGCATCCTTGACCTGCAGGTAAGCCAATACTGGGCATTGGTTTGAATCGAATCTGAATCTGATGTGCGCTTACCTTTAGCTTGGAGGCGCTTGGACTAACGCCCAAAATGAGCGCCGCTTCGCGCTTGTTCATTTTGGGATCGAAGCCGCCTTTGTAATATTTGGCATTGGCCATGCTCTCGGCATCGAACTTGGGCAAGTTCTTGAGGGCCTCGTTGAACTTTGACGTCATCTGCGGCATGCGGCGCAGCAAGTGTTTGCCAGCGAAGCCTACAGCGGCCACGCCGAGGCCGGCCAATATAATCGAGCTCGTCTTGTAGTAGTTCGTGATGGGATCACGTTTCATATGCATGGGCATTGCAATTAAATATGTAACAAATGACGAAATAGAATTATTTCAGCAGTTTTAATTATAATTTTACACTGACATATTATAATTTTGTACCATTTTATGTAATTGATGTAATTCTCCTAATCAGCTGTGACATAAATGTGAATGCTTCTTTAACTGTGATCGACTTTTCGGAGCAAGCTATCATCGTATGTCAAGCATATCTGCTATCGATGATACGTTAACTATCGCATACAATTTCGATAACTCTTGCTCTCATTCCAGCACATCCCTAATCAACTTTGTTTTGTTATTTTGTTGATTTTTGCGCTAAAAATTCGGTTATCAAATGAGTAAAGAGCGTAAGCCAGCCGTTTACTGGATAAACACGCACGAAGAAATACTCTTTAGGCTGTGGCATCAAAACCTTGATGAGCTGAGAACCAAACGCCCAACCAGGCAAGTATATCAGGTAATTGCCGAGAAACTCATTGATGCCGGCTTACAACTAGGATGGAAAGACGTACGGACGAAAGTTGATAACCTAACCAGAAAATACAAGTAAATAGTGTTGATGTCGGTTTAGCTACACAATTTTCTAAATGTTATCTTAAAAACAGAGAGGAGCTGAAAAAATTACGCTCAACGGGCCAGGCCTCAAACTGGAAAAACTTTGAACACATCCACAAAATTCTGGGAGAAGCCAAAAGCGACGAAAAGGTGTCCAACGAGCTAGAGCAGAGTTCCGGTATGTTGATTAATGTACATTTCAGTGAATTTAAGTACAAATCCATTGCCCATTTTACAGACATGATTTTGACCAAGGAAGAACACTTTGACTTCGAGGATTTACCATTTAGTACCTTTTCCGGCGAGGAGGTCATAGTTGATCAGCACTTGGAGAACCTAGACTTCGGAGAGCCAAAGTTCTTTTCAGAAACAGCTGAATATGTAACAGAGAGTCCTGCTCCCAAGAAACGTAAACTCGCTAAAGCAAGCCAATTGACGCCGTATGAGGCGGCAATGTTAGAAATTGAAAGAGACCGCTCGGATCGGTTGGAGCGCATTGCCATGTGCCGGCTGCAGGTGATGAAACGCATGGCAGCGGAAAACGCCGCTTTTCATAGTAAAATTTTAGCTTTAATGAAGAGCAAAAAGTAATTAGGTATAAATTTAATTTAGCTAGCTTATAATAAATGTTTGTTAATATTGATTGTGCTTAGGAATTGGCTAATGCCTCGCCTAATGTGCTCGGCTTGTTCATCCGCCTTCTGCAGGGATTCGCCCATCGCCACAGGCTGTACTCTTTCTGTTCTCGATTCGTCCAGCCAGCTCTCTAAGATCCTGCTTTTGTTGCCATTCAAAAAGTTGTGTAATATGCAACAGCACAATATAATGTCAAAGGGTCTGCTATGGTTGTCCAAGCACTCGGATATTCTGCAAAATCGCGCTTTTAACTGGCGAATCGCCTCATCCACAACCCGTCTACACTCGTCCAGTGTATTATTGAACAATTTTTGTTGCTCCCCCTGCGGATTGGCATAGGGCGTCAGCAGCGTTGTGGAACATTGAAACGCTGAGTCGCCCAGCAGCAGCACGGGAACCTTTACGCCCGCAATTAGCTTTGAATTGGATTTAAGCAATGTGGAAGCATTTACAATTCTCTTTAGAGATGACTCCTCGTAGACCTCATCGTTTTGCCGGCCACCTGGACTATTGTAGTTTACATAAAGAAATCTGGAACTGAAACGTTGAACCAGGCTATATATATAGAGATCAGGTTGATGCAACAACAATTTCATCTGCTCACCGATGATCGACTAGCGCGAATAGTATCCTGGAATACCAATCTTGTGTGTTATAGTATTCCGCCAAGTTTCCTGGTACTGGTACGTTATTAATCTCTATGTGGCAGCTACCTGCAAAAATTATAACGAAATATTTGAAAACCAAGTAGTTGATAATGTTGTATTGAGCTGCTCACCAAGTGCACCAAGACACTGAGGCAATCCCCTGGCTTCAAAGCCCCTGACGCACTCCTCTAGCTTGCTTTGGGTGAGGAACTCCTTTGGCAAATATTCCGGTGCCAGGACACGCCTGACCTCCTGGCAAAAGTCTTTTAGGATTTTGCCCACCATCGAGGAGGACACGCTGAATAGTTCGCCCACCATGCTGTACTCCGCCGTACTGCCGAGCGTATACAATGCAATGGCAATACGCTTATCAATTGGAATGGCCTTCCGGAACGATGTATCGCATTTTTTTATGCCCAGCAGCCGTTTGACTAGAACGTGAAAGTATTGTTTTTCCATGCGAAAGAGATTTAGAAAATGTTCCTCCGAGGTAGCTGGCACCACTGTCTCCCAAAATGTGCCAGTACGTTGCTTAAATAAGTAAATATGCTTAATTATTATATATTTTTGTTATATTTCTTCATATTTATACGCACGAATGTCCATTCGCGCGGCGCTTTACGTTTTTTTCGCCTGCGCTCAAAGGTCGAGCGAAATTCTTCCACCGTTTGCTCAAACTCCTCTTCCCAGTCCATCAAGTTCAGCAAATTGTATTCGTTTTGTTCGCAGAGCATTAACAGCTTGGCGGGATCCATTTTATAAACAATTTTTAAACACAAATCAAAATACTACAATCAGCTGTTTGACTCTGGGCGAATGGCAAAAACTTGTGGCAGTCATCTGTGCTATTGAAACTAGGGCTGCAACGACTACTCAACTGTTGTGTAATAGTTGCTCAACAGTAATAAGCTAGGTAGTTTTTATGTTCATAAATATTCCATTTGTGCAGTGATACATAAGCAAAAAGGTTCCGATAAACTTATTTCACCATATATTCTGATCCTTGTTAGGGAGCAGAGCAAAATCACTGCGCACAGCATATGCGATATTTGCGGTCACTATCGAAAGCGCAAACATATCGATTTTTTTGATATCGTTCGAAACGTATCGGGCTCACACAAAACAAGTTGAAGAAGAAGCGTGAAAATTTGATGTGCAAAGTTTTAAACGAAATTTTTATATTATTGATTTACAGTAGCAAAAGTGTCAATTGGTTTGCTAGGTGATAAACTTGTGTGCCGTTGCCGTTGGTGTGTTGTTGCTGTTGTTGGCGTAGCCGCTGGCAGAATAACTAAAACTATATTTGGCGAAAGGCACCAGCAGTCGGATCAGCAGCCGTCAAACTGGAGCGTATTCCGGAGTATCTGCGCGACACGGTCGACTGGTTGATGGGGTAAGTGCAAGCATAATCAGCTGCAGCACAAATAATATTCAACAAATCAAACGCAATGAGATGATTTTTATAAATAGTATGCAGCATGCCCCAAACACGATAACAGCGACAAAGCGACGTAACGTCGCTCGTTGTCGTCTCGTCGCATTGTCGCATTGTCGCCTCGTCGCCTCGTCTTGGTGGTGTCTTTTGTGTCCTCTGCGTTTTGCTTCGTCGCCATTTGGCATTTCGCCAATTGGCCTCGTTTCTCATCCATCTCTCTTCTTTTTTTATTTTGCCGTCAAAAGCAATGTTTGTTGTTGTTGTTCTTTCGTCTGGCCAACCGAACGCCTTACGTAGACGCCGCCGCCATCGCAGGAGGAGCTCCATTTGCTGATATTGTTGTTGTTCTTCATCTTCTTCTTGATGTGGTGTTTGTTATCGTTGCGCTGCAAAATCAATAAAGGGCAAATTTTTGTTTTTATCGATTTCTCAAATGTAACGCAAGTGTTTTGATTTTTATGTGCTCGCACGCAAACCAATAAACACACACACACACAAGCATAAGCACAAACACGCACAGACATGCACACGCATGCATTCATGCTCACCCATACAAATGCATATTTATTTATGCACTTTGCTTCCTCGTGTCCATTCATCAAGGCCACACTGCATTTCCAATTGCGTTTATTTATCTTCATTCTCGCTTCACCCACTCGTTCGTTCGCTCACACTTTGCCCCCCCTACCACTTCTTCCATTGTTCTTCTGCATCATCTGTTGTTTATGTTTCTACGCATTTCTGTTGTTGCGACGGCCACAGCAGCGCGATAAGCGAAACCGGTTTAATGAACTTGCCAATATTTGCCCGCAATCTGTAATCAAAATGTAAAGCAAACACATGGCAACAACACTAACAAACAGTTTCATAGATCAACTAAGCATACACACATACATGCATACATACATACATACATATATGTACATATATATATATAACTGTTTGTCACCCGCTGACTTTATGGTGATCAACGCACAAAACCGTTACAGCTGAGATGCTGAAGTTCTTGCTGTAATTACGTAATGGAATCCAAATCCACGCTGAGGTTGGGCTTTCGGAATTCCCATCCGCAAATGCAGAAAAACTTGTGAACAAATGTTGTATGCTAATTTTTTGCTTCCCAACCGATCCGTTTTAAACTCATTTTCACAGACCTTTGTTCGAATTCATTTGAAAGGTGTTTCATGCTTTTCGGAAAATCCACCCCTCCTTGGGGGATATCGAGTTCGTTCGATCAGCTTCAAACATATTTTGAAAGGCCTACATAAGAACTTTGGCAATTTCATCCGTGAAAAATGAGTAAAAAATCTCTTTTTGACTCTATGATCGGTTTGAAACCCCTTTTTAAGGATCTTCGGAAAACACACCGAATGTAGCTTCTGCCCTTCAACTCACCCAAATGATCAGCTTGAAACTCCCAAAATTGGAGGGAACTTTGAATACGGCTTCTCTTGGGTAAAGCCTACTCAGAGGGGCCTTCAAGGATTCCAATAATTTGTTGCATTCACTCAAATGAATATATAAAAGTGAATAATGAAATTTCTTTTAATATCGTATAAGGTAATAACGATCTCAGATACTTTCTGGCTTTGCCCTCAGTTTCATACAAGGTGATCAGCCTGTATTGTCTCCGCTCTTCAGATGCCTGAGGTTACCAAGAATCACACAAACAATTTAGATAGCTCTTGTTTATTTGACTAAGGCAGCGCCGGGTAATTTCCTTTGCGAACGATCCCTGTACTGTGTACACTATATCGTTCTCTAGCTTCCATATAGAAAACTGACTGACTGTAACAGCTAGAAAGACGGCGGTGCAGGCTAAGACGGAGATTTGGGAAATCCACCCGCAAGTGTGGAAAAGTCGCAAAAAACGTTTGTGTCACGCTTTTTTTTGCTTACTATCCACACTATTCTCTATTCACACTTTTAGAGAATCCAAGCATTCTCTGTGAAAATGAACGAAGGTTTAGTTTTCGGCTTCAAGATTCTCAAAGATTTTTCAATTTTTGGCTCTTCATTCGATGGACTTAAGACAAATTAAATTTAAATTTTCCACGTGAAAAAGCTACATATGTAGATATAAACTTGCTACGGACAAGGCCTGGGAATATTACGGCAAATTTACATACAGTTTTTCGATAGTTTCCCAAAATTGATGAACTATAGAAACCAAATTTGGCTGTGTTAATCGCAAGTAGGATTCGCAGGGAATGCAGCTTAGAACCCAAGTGTGAGGGGGGAATGCAATTAGCTGCGATTATATATACCATATATATATATATATAGGGCCGGGAAAATAGATGGAATCGAACCTCGCCCGCGTCGCACTGTCGCCAACGGCGTTCAAGCGGAAGGCGTTCGTGGCGTTGAGGGGGGCAGACGCGACCTTGAGGCACACTTAGCACAACTCTAATTGAATTAGACGGTACACAGTGTGTGTATAAGAAAGAGAGAGAGTGAGAGAGAGAGAGAGAGAGAGCGAGTGAGACAGATAATTCGCAACTCTTCACGTCTGGAATTGATTGACAGCGTTGACAAATCACAGGGCAAAATCAATTCTCAAAGGGGCTGCAGTGCTCAGAAGGGGGGGGGGGGGTGGCGTATTAAGTTGGTTTTTCAGTGGATTCTTCTTTGGCTCTGGCCGTTTCGGAGGCCCGTCGCAGTTGTCGTTGGGGCCGCACACGCGTCTTGTGTTGGTCCGTTCCGTTTAATTTGGTCATGAACTGGGCCATCTCGAATCTGACGGGCGGCAATCGGGTGAGCCGTGCCATACTCGTGCGCTACTCCTCGGTGCCGCTGGCCGAGGATGGTGCGTCGACGGCGCCGCAAACGCCTGCTGCAACCACGCCCCGTGCCGCAGCCACTGCGCATTCGTCGCTGTCCTCGACATTTGCGGCCACATTCCTGAACTCGTCCTCGCGTCATGTGCAGCGCCACCAAAGCAGCAGCAGCAGCAATAACAACAATAACAATAATAACAATGGAGGCACTTGTGCTGCAGGCGGAGCTGGAGGCGCCGCCACTCAGCTCTCGCTGCCCCTCGATGTGGAGGAAACGGTCACTTGCTTTTGTCGGTAAGCCCCGGGGGGCAAGGGTAAGGGTAAGGGAACAAGCGAAGCCGTAGAACAGCTGTGTGTATAAGCTCCAGAGTTTGTAAAAGTTAATTGCACTTTAGCAAATATTTTGCCTGTATTTTAACTGATTAGTCATCATGTTTTACACTCATAGAAGAACTTGATTTTTGACCAATTGTTTCTTATCAGATTATTTAATGTTAAACGCTCTTCTATGCGATTTTCATAAAATCATGTGTAACATGCATTTATAATTCAAGAACTGTTTTTCAAAGGTCCCTCAAAATTCGATTAACTTTAATTACTTTTCATCTTAGTCCCTAGCTTCGTATCTTTTTTTTTTTTTTTGTTTCTCTATGCTGCATAGATATTTACTCTCTCTGTGACTGTCTCTCTGTTTATGTAACTCTCTCCCACTCGCACTCTCTCTCACTCGCACTCTCTCTCACTGCCTGGCCCATTTTTATTTCTATCTGTTATGCGATTTTGATCAATTTCAATCGATTTTAGCCTTCTTAGTTATGACCCATTTTATGACATTTTTCATTATTATTTTATTAAATTGAATCTCTGCTGTGGCTCATAGATATTTGGCCTAACTACGGGGTATTTCCAGTCGTGCACTTCCAATTGGAGCATTTTTTCGCGTTGCTTCCAAGTCAATTGGATAGCACACACAACAAGAACAAATTATTGTATTGTAGCAGTGTGTAAGAGGGAGAAGGTTGCGATTATCGCACTCTTCTGTTTACTCATTCGCATGCAAAAACAGCTGATAATGATTTCGGCTCCTGCCCATTAGCATTGCTGTTGTTATTTTATTGTTTTTTTTTTTTTGTTTCTTTTTATTACTGTTTCTCGGGAATTGCAAAATTCGTGTGTCCTGCCGTACTGCGCATTTAACTCAGTCCCCTAACCCCCCCCCCCCCCCCCCCCTGCAATCTCTCTAGTCGCCCACTGTTTGCTTTATAGGGTTTCCATTCGCAAAGAAACCCCGCAGCGGGCATAAGCTGATGGCCAACTGTCTAGCTGCTGGCTGTCTGGTTAGGGGGGGGGGGGGGTGTTGGGCAGGGGGCGGTTCACACCTACGACGCATTTAAACAGCGCTCGCAGTGTCACGCCCCCCTTTTGGCTAACGGCGCGACACAGGCATAATTCACACAGCGCCTTGCCACAAATGTGTGTGTGTGTGTGCGTATGTGTGTTTACGCATGTATGTGTGTGTCTGTTTATGCTTGTGGCGCCTCATAAAATTCATAGTTTTGCTCTTTTATTCCATTTTTTTGCGCACTTCCAAATTTGATGGCTACATCTGACGTCATT